AGAACTTGAGTGAGGGCCCCAGGATGGGGTGACCCTGAGAAGGCCACTAGGACAGATGTTCCTCTATGTACATACCCACTGAGGTCCTGCTCAGCGTCCAGCAGGAAGAGGCCTGTGCTTGGTCTGGAGGCTGGCCCCTCAGACTACTTGATCTCTCTCCCTAGACACATGTCCCTTTTCTCCTGTGGTTTCCTCTTCCTTACATGTTTAGTATAGTATGATCAAGAGTGGGGCTCAGCTGTATTCCTGAGCCAGGGAGCTGTAGGATATAAGAGGTCCTCTGGGAGTTGCCCCTGCCCCATGGGGAACCAAGTGGCAGGGGGAACTCTACAAAATTTTTTCTGAGTTATTTTTGAAGACAGAGCATGTCCTTTTGAGGTGACAAGGTACCCCCTTCTGCTTCTGTCTCCATCTCTGTGTCCTTATGCGGCAGCCAAGCATTTGTGTCATTGCAGATGCCCCTGATGACCTCCGTGGGCTTTAATCTGCATATGTTACCTCCTGCGTGTGTCACTCTCATTCTGACTCTCCTCCTCTGACAGCATATGATGGCATCAGTCTTGCAGCCCCATTCATTGGTTCCTTGTCTCTACCTATCCAATAAGGGTGAGGGCCCCTTCCCTAAAGAAGCCACAACAGCAGGGAGGAAGGTGGAGAGAAAGCATGCTCACTGGTACTGAGGCTATCTGAATTCCCATCTCCCTCACCCAGCCCTGCCAAGGACACTTCCCTGATTGATCCCTTGGCTACCTCTGAGCCTACCTGCCTCAAGAGGTATCTGCATTGTAAGGCTTTGCTCAGAGTTGGTACAGAAGGGGTACTGTGTAGTAGGCCCATATCTAGTGGGGCTCCAGGGGTATGTCATAGGGGACAGCTGGTGTGGAAGGAGTCAGTTACTTGTTCCTTTGATCATCCAGGCGAGGCCCTGAGCAGTGATATGGCAGCTCTCAAAAGACCAGTGTCTTTTCCCAATCAAGGTAGAAATGTGGTCTATGGTACTGAAAAGGTCCAAAGAATGGCTGAGTTGACTATATATGTGCTGATGACCATGGGCTTTGGAGCCTTCCCTGAGTGTATGTGTGAGGTCAGGGCATGACGGAGGGGATCTTCCCAACCTGGTCAGCAGGGAGAGGAGCCTTCAGGGGGCATCATGTTCACTCTAACTCCATATGTCTCAGTGTGCCCCCTTGCATGTTTGAGTGAAGAAGCTGCCTTTCTCCTCTGAGGGGTGTCTCTGCTGCCACTGATACTGCTGCAACCACTGCACAGATCAGGTGTCAAATGAACCCCTATCAAGATCTGTAGATGCTCAAGTCCCTTATATAAAATTGAATAGTATTTGTATACCCTATCTACATTCTCCCATATCCTTTAAATCATCTCTAGAATTTTTCTTATATAATGTCATTGTGTAAACAGTGTTATACTGTTTACAGGAGGAAAAGGACAAGGAAAAAAGTTTGTGCATTTTCAGTACAGCATTTTTTTTAGTGTTTTTGATCTGAAGGAAGTTCAATCCACAAATGTGGAACCTGTGGATATGGAAGACTGAGTGCTTATGAAGGCACGTTAAATACTCTGTGTATAAGTTGTAATAGCTTCCTAGTGTTTGCTTGATTGAATCAACTATTGGGCTTTTAAATTATTGCCAAGTTTTCACCATCACACTCCACACTGGGATTGCCCCCTTCATGTGTACCTCTTGGTTTAACTTGTGCAGTTTCTTCCTTAGGTTAGATTGCTACTGGGGAAACACTAGTTCACCTTCCCACCAATAGCATGTACAGGAGGCCCATGACTCCCCTCTGGCTGAGTGGTAAGCCACCTATTTACCAAAACTGCTCACAGCTACAGCAGGAAGCTCCCAATTTCCATTAGGGCACCACCCTCCAGCAGCTAGGTGCTAGTCTGTGAAGGCTGGGTGTGAGGGGTGCCTGGATTCTGTCCTTTATGATGCTGCTGGAGAGGCAGGTCTTATCTGGAAAGACTTCGGTCAGCAGCTCTAAGGTGCTCAAGACTGCATGGCTTTGGGACTTAGGGACCCAGTACGAGCAGGGTTGACTGGATGGGCTGAGTTCTTAGGGAGATGCAGGAGGAACTGGGAGGGCCTCCAGGTGGGGAACCAACATAAGCAAGGATAGATGAAATTATTTTAGGAGAGATACCATCCAGGGACTCTGAGGTACCTGGTCTTCTTGAAGCACAATATTGGCATTGAGGAGGGCTGGTGAGTGAAGAGGCCAGATGAAGGGATTGATGAGTTTGCCTTCAGTCTTAGAAGCAGTGGGGAACTATCAGAAAGTGAGTGAGAAACAAGGACTGATGTGGCCAAGTGGGATTAGAGGCAAATGAGTGTTGCTGGAAGGAGATGCAGATGAAGGCAAGAGAAGCTGGGAGGAGGTCGGAAGTGATCCTGGCCTGAACCAAGGCTGGGGAGGGGAGAAACTGTAGAAGAAGCTGCCAGTTCTCTGTCTGAGACATAGACACAAACCCCATTTGTCAATCCACCTGGCGAGGCTCATCACTTTAAAAGCTCCCAACCCAAAGAGCTACCCCACTCTTTAGTGTACTTTGGCAGTGATCTTTGTGACTCTTCAGATTTAGTGACCCATCATAAAAGAAATCTGACTTCTGAGATGCAGCCAAATCTGAAGGAAAGGAGCCGATGCAGAAGCGTCAGCCCTGGTCTTTGGCAGATGTCCCTGCCCCTTTGGCTGGGGAGTTGCCAATGGCCCCTCTGTTTCTGTCATTCTGCACATGTGTGACTCCATCCTGATTGGAGAAGTAGCTTATTTGGTTCTGATTTGGCAGGAAACTTCTAGGCAACGAGGGAAACTAATGAGTTTCTGGGCCTAGTAGTGTGGCTGGGATGGCTTCAAAAGCTGTGGATGACCTTCACCTCACTTGTAGGAGGCCCACAGAAGGTAAGGGATTCTCCAAAGGTTTCATAGTCAGTGGCATCAGGAGATGGAAGAACCAAGAGTTCAGACTATGTGGGCCTGCCTGCAGGCACCAACTCTACCACAGGCTGCGGGATGGGGACAACTGGACCTCTGCAGTAATAGGATCTCCTATGGAATGAGCTCCACTCAATAGAATTCTGACGTGGCAGCCTCGGTGCAGGGCTGGGCACGTGGGACTCCCATTTGCCATGATGAGGTGCCGTTCCTGGCATGCAGCAGGCTCAGGTTGCCTGGAGTGCTCTTTCGTTGTGGGAGAGCCAGCCCTTGCTGACGTGGTAAATTTGGTTTGCTCTTGGCCCCCTGCCCTGCCCCTTTTAGTGTGCCCCTGACTTCCACGGAAACATGTCTGGGTCCTGCCAGCTGGCACTTTTTCTGAGCTGGTCAGAGCCTAGCCCTGGAGGAGCCCAGAAGGTGGCAGACCCTGGAGAGGAAGGCTGCTCTGCCTCAGGATTATGCCAGCACAGCCAGCCCCTGCTTCATGTCCTGCCCATGTACCTGAGCACCCCAGCCCCTCCCTTGAGGCCCAAAGGGTCACCAGTGCCTGCCAAGAGCAAGAGCCAGATCCACAGCCTGGGCCGTTTGTCTCCCCACAGCGCTGGCTCACTCCCAGGCTAGAGAGCTCCTTACTCTAGGCCATCCTCTACGTAAATAAGCCTCATGACACTGTGAAGGCCACTATGACACCACAGCCCTCCTTCACTGGCCCTACCTGCAGGCTAGAGAGGAAGCAAGGAGGGAGAACAGATCACAAGGCAGGTGTGGGCCAGGGGGTCAGTGGATGTCCTTGCCATATCTTCACATTCATCTAGTCCCAAGGGCCACTAGGAGTTAGCAATGGATCCCTAGGCTTTCCTCACTGTAGGTGGAGCCAAAACCTGAACAAAGAGGGTTGCACATCTCCAAACCATCCTTGTACTGATTGGAGATTGCTAACTATCCCTCTTCCAGCAGAGACAGGTTGAAAGTTCATGCTACTTGGCTTCTGTCCAAATGCCCAGGGATGTTAGTGATCTTTCCTGTTCTCATAGCAATCCTGAAAGGAAGATGTTTTAACTCCAATTTTTCAAATGAGGAAACTGAGGCAACTCAAAGAGATTAGCAGACCTTTCCAGGGTCTCTCAGACAGCTACTAAGTGATGAGGAAGATAATCCAACTGCCTGCCCTGAAGGAGTTCTGCCTGAAATGTGCGCTAGTTCCATCTTCTGAACCCCAAAGTGTTGACTGACCCTACACTGGTTTCTGTGACACTGTGGAGGCTCCCCTGATGCCAGATCCTTCCCAAACTCCCTGGGGCCAGACTCTGACCATTAGCAATCTAGAAGGTTTCATGGCCTATCCTTATCAGACCACTGCTCCATGTTATCCAGGTGAGCAGCCCTAGGCAGATAGGAGGGTGTGCCACTTGGCAATGGCAGGTCCAGTGAGTACCTGCTCCTTGGCCACTGTCCTTCATTCAGGAATCCACCACCAATTGCCACCCCCAAAAGTCTGAATGATCTTGGTATTCTAGGGACAATATGGTTACTGGAATAGTCCATTTTTGTTACCATAATGAAATATCTGAGGCTGGGTGCTTTATAAAGAAAAGATGTTTATTCAGCTCACAGTTCTGGAAGTTCAAGGACATGGTGCTGGTATCAGCTTGGCTCTGGTGAAGACCTTATGGCTGTTGGCATCAGTGTCAGGAGAGCATGTGACAGGAAGAGCTCCCATGGTAAGACAGGAAGCCAGAGTGAGATCAGGCCTGAGGCAAGCTTGCTCTTTGATAACAACCCTCTCACCAGGAAAAAAAAAAAAAAAAACAGTGTCCCATGAGAATTACATCAACGTCTTCCTAGGGCAATACCCCTAATAACTTCATTGCCTTCCATTAAGCATCCCCTCTTAAATGTCCCACTACCTCTTAACATCGCCACTCTGGTGGCCAACCTTTCAATACATGAACCCTTGGGGGACAAACACCATCAAAACTGTAGTGTGACCCACAGCCATTACAGATGCATGAAGTGACAAACATGTGCTTGCCTTTTTCTCAGGAGCCCTATTGACTCAACTGAGAGAGGACCTGCAGAGCCAGCACCATGAGTATCTCTGCTCTGGGAGGCAGCACCAAAGGTGAGGCCTGGGCTCCATGTATCCCACCCTATTCCACATGTTCCCCAGGAAGGCTGTGAGTGCGGCCTGGAAAACAAAGGGAGAGCAGCATATTGGGAGGGCTGGAAAGGAAGCCTCAGGGTCCTGGACATGGGATCCCCTTTTGAGGCTGCTTGGCCTTGGCCCTGCCAGGGAAGTCTTTGCCACCAGGCGAGGAGGAGCGCAATAATGTCCTCAAGCAGATGAAAGTACGCACCACACTGAAGGGGGACAAGAGCTGGATCACCAAGCAGGATGAATCCGAGGGCCGTACCATGTAAGTCTAGGAAGCCAGAAGGGATGGCAGCAACTGGGGCAGGTGGGGGTGGGTTGCAATTCATGGGGCCTGACCAGACCTGGGGATGCTGAGAGGCTTCCAGCATTTAGAGCTCAGTCAGGCCACATGGCCATAGAATATACAGGGAGGATGAAGCGTGGGAAAGTCAAAGCAGCTAAAGGTAAGATCTGAGCAAAGTCTAAAGATGGCAAAGCTCTCAGGCACTGGGGCATGTGTGTATACACACATCTGTGGAGGAAGGCTGGAGTAGGAGAAGGAGAGGTGACAATGGTGAGGCACTGCAGGCATCCTTTAGGATGGAGACTGCAGAGTGGCAGGGGGCAGGGAGGTTGGGAGGCATTCTTTCAGGATCCCTCTTTCCCCAGAGAGCTGCCTGCAGGCCGGAATCGAGCCACATCCTTTTCATCAGCTGGGGAGGTCTCAAAGGCCAGGTAAGAGGTGGAGCCAAGGTGGCTCATAGGTGGGCCCTCGGAACTCACCTGCAGCATGTGGCTGGCCCTGTAGTAGGACAATAGGGGATAGATAAGGAGCCCAAGCTAAAAGGAGCATGAAAGACCTGTAGTGTATCATTTAAAATCCACAGGAAGGATGAGCTCTTGTGCTGTGTTTTCCTCTTGGGAAAGGGAGGGTAGGAGTCAATGGTCCAGGCTCCTGGCCTTGCTGTGGGGTCATAGGGCTAGCTGACACCCCTGAGAGCTTCCATGGCTCCAGTGGCTCCAGCTGTCAACTGGGATAGAACTTGTCATTCAAAAGAAGACTATTATTCCGTCTCCTCCTTCAGGGAATGAGATAACATCTCTGAGGTGCTCAGGCAGCTTTGAGTCACTTGTGACTCACTCCTGCAGGGGAGGCTTATATGTTTGACCTCAACTGCCCCCAAGGTCATAATTCCAGCTGGTCAGTGGAACTGGCCTCTTTCTATTTTCAATAACAATGTCCAGGGGGCTTTGAAGTGTGAGCTCATCCTGCTAGCATCTGGAGGAACTGATCATGAGAGAAATGGGAACCAAGAAATAAACTGGGTGGTCCTTGACCCAAACTGCTGGCAGTTGACAGCATGTGCAGAGCAGGGGATTTTTAGGTGGTGACAGGCAATGGCAGCAGCTGATGCATGGGGTGATCTCTGGTTATAGTCTTGCTCAGTGCCCCAAAACTGCCAGGTCCTGTGCTGGGCCCAGAGGCTATAGTAGTTATCAAGACCTAGGCCTTTTCCTGAGGGGAACTCACATTCCTGCAAGGGACATAGATACCTAACAGATGAATGCAAAAGAGAGAATTGTAAGTTGAGACAAGTATGGTGGATGACATTGATGAGTTTGAGAGTCATCAAAGATAGTCAACTTCTTATGGAGCTTTTTGACTTTGGAAGATGCAGTTCTCACCCCAGCCTGTGGTTTGGGGTATGTTTGGAAAGCACATTCTAGGGTATTGTGCATCAGGGATCAGAATGGTGCTACCTTGGGGCTGGGGTTATGGCTCAGTAGCAGGGCACTTGCCTAGGATGTGTGAGGCACTGGGTTCAATTCTCAGCACCACATATAAATAAATAAAGTCCACTGACAACTAAAAAGTTGTTAAAAAAAAATAATGGTGCTATCTTGAAGTCTACATAAAGCCTGCCAAAAGGCCCCAGTCAGAAATGCTTATGTGGCTGGAATAGGTGTCACCCTGTGTTCCTGCAACTTGGCCACCTCCAGGAACCTGTCCCTTCAAAGAGTCTGTAGGGATGGAGGATTCTGGGACTCTTTATTACCCTTAAACCTCACCCCACTGCTCTAACCCAAAGCCCCTCTATTCCTGGACAGTGGTATCATCTGCCTTGACTCCTTGTTTCCTTGCCCAATTATAAGGAAGACGCTTAGGAGATAGGTGCCTTTGTCTCCTGTCCCTGAGCCTAGAACTTATAGTCCCCACCATCCCTGGAAATGGGTACAACAGAATAAGTACCTTGGCCAGGAAAATGGGAGTGGCTACCTCTGCTCATGTGTGCTACACTGGGATACCTACCAGCCAGCCTACTTTGCTATAGGTGGAGACAGAATGAAGCAGGGAGCCTGAAGCCTCCAGCAAGGCCCTGCTTCACTTTGTACCTCCTTTTCCCTTGGCAGGGCTCCAAGCACAAGAGCTCCCACTGGCTATATCATCCGGTAAGTGACATGCACCTGCATCCCCATACCACCTGTGCTGCTTCTTGACTTCTCATCATCTCCTGGGTTCTCTTGTAGGGGTGTGTTCACCAAACCCATCGACAGCTCATCTCATGCCCAGCAGCACTTCCCCAAAGCCAATGGAGCTCCAAAAAGGTATGTCCATAGGTCACTGGCCAGTTGGCCACTGGGAAAGTGTGAGGGCCTGCTCCAGATCCATGGCAGGGATAGGGCTTTGCCTGTAAGCAAGGGGCAGTGCCTATCCTGGCTCGCTCTGTTTACTGGGGCAGAAAGGCACAGGGAACATACTGGGAAAGCTGGGCCCAGAGTCCCCCTGGTTTGGCAGTTGGTACCTCGTACTTGCTGACCATATTGGGCTGTGTGCTTTAGTCTTCCTAGCAGGCTGAGGGGGCATATTAACTAAACAACCAGGCCTCAGGCAGAACTGGGGCTCCATTGGAAAGGAAAGGCCAAGGGGACTTGGAGCAGGAAGAAAAACACAGGCAAGAACCCACTGGGTTTTTCTTTGAGGCTCAGTGGGGTCTGCCTATGGCAGGAAGGGCTGCCTACTCAGGGTGTCTGGCAGTACTGAATTAAAAAAAAAAGCTCCCAGTGACCCCCTGGGCCACCCATCTCATGCATGTTGGGCTGTGTAGGCAAATCTGGGGATAGGAATGGGATTTTGGGTGGGCACATGGAAACTCCTGGCCTTTGCAGTGCTGCCGCTCTGGGGAAAGCAGCTACCACTGGCCCTCCCCGCCCCACCTCCTCTGGCTACAAGATGACCACTGAGGATTACAAGAAGCTGTGAGTATGCAATTTCCAACCCAAACATAGGACCTGCTGAGGATAGCTGGCCACTCTCCTCTAAGCACAGCCTAGGGAGAGCTAGTCTGACTGTCCCAACACCCCTGACAGTTGTGGCTGTGGCCTGGAGCCCACCAGGAGGTGACAAAGGCCCAGAAAATTACATGACCATGCATAATATGTTTCTGATCTGAGGCAAAGCACAGTCTGCAGGAAGCTTCTAGGAGGAGTACATAGGTCTGGAGAAAGGATCATGAATTGTGGCTATGGGGCTGCTGCTGGCTGGTTGTATTTTGGGGGCATGCCCCTTATACCAGCCTGGGCCATGGACTCAGTCTGGGCTGTACTGGGCTGGGAGTCCAATGCTCCTTGGGATGCTGCTGGCTCTAGCAGCCTATCAGTGTGGGCATTTTGTGCCTAAAGCTGAGTTATTTCTTGGGTGTAATTCTTTGGCATCCCACACTGGAGCTCTCCTTGAGGTCCCTTTCAAGACTTTTACCCTGCATGCCAGGGAGGGGGGCTCTGGACATAGGTTCCCCAGAGGCCCCACATTTTTATATTGTTTGTCCTTTGTCCCCATTAGCCAGTGTCATGGAGCACCTGGAAAATCTTTCTGGGGAAGTGATGAGGCTTGAACTGGAGAGGAATATGACAGGGAGTGTGGGGTGTGGTATGGAGGTAGAAGAGCTGTAACCACTTCTTCTCTTCCTCCAGGGCACCATACAACATCAGGCGCAGCTCCACATCAGGGGAGGTGGAAGAGGAAGAAGTTCCTGTCTCTTCAGATGAGCAGAAACGGAGGTAATGGTGCCCCTCAAGGCATGGCAGGGTCCTCAGTCTTCACTCAACATACCAAACTTAGACCATCTTTGGAGGTTTGTGGGGTGTGGGTATAGCTGTCATTCCATGAGTCTGAGAACTATTTACTCAGTGCTGGACCAGCTGAGAACTAACTACCAGCTCAGCAGGCCCTCTAAAGCACTTGCTTATGGGTACAACCTAGGTAATGCAGGCCCAGGCAAAAGTCATTTCTGGAGTCTTCAGGACTTTAAACCATTTTGTTAGAACAGGTCCTGAGAAAATTGGGTAAAAATTTTCAGGGTAGGATCCCTGGAAGAGGCCAAGTGGCCACCTGCACAGTTCTCTCTATGTGTGAGCTGTGCATACAAAGTCCCAGTAAGTTATACACACTTAGAAGGCAGGGGATGGGCTCCATAATTTCAAATGTCCCTTGCCTACAAACAGGCCTGGCTGTGGGCCATCTTCTGCCAATCCATTTGCAGCTCAGGAAGCACAGAAAAGTCCTCTTGCTGAAGGTTCTGAAAGATGGGCAGCCATAAAGGCATGAGTCCTCAGGCCTGGGGAGTGCAGCTCAAAGAACCAGGAGTTCTGAAGCTGCCTAGTATTAAATGCCTGCTCTTCCACCTGCTAGGTGTGTACTCTTGGGCAAGTAACTAGATCTGTCTAGCCTCAGTTTCCTCATCTGGAAATCATGGTAGGATATTAGCACCTTCTTTCCCGAGTTAGGAAGATTAATGAGCAAATATGGTGATGTCAGCATCGAGGGCAGGGCTGGGCACACAGTGTGTGCTCAGTAAACATAGCTGTCCTTCCCTCAGTTTCCATGTTTCCTTTGAATAGTCTTTGTAGCATATGCTACATTGGCTTCTCCTCACCTCTCTGGGGTGGTTCCTAGTCATCTTGAGGACATCCCTGGTTAGGCTGGCAGAGTGTGTACAGCTTGACACCCATCAGTTGTCCCCCACCCCATGTTGCCCCAGATCAGAGGCTGCAAGCAGTGTGGTGAGGAAGACAGCTCCCAGGGAGCATTCCTACGTCCTGTCAGCAGTCAAGAAGAGCACTGGGTGAGTTGCACATCAGGGAACTCAGCAGGGCAGGAGGCCTGGTCTCTGAGCCTGGCATGGCCGCCAACTGGCTCCATGTTGTGGAATAGTTCCCCTCTTCTCAGGGTACCTTGGCCTGGTGAAAGGGTGAATTGAAAGAATACTCCCAAGGGCCCTCCTAGCTAGACTTTCTCAGATTCATATGTATTTTCTAAAGAAACTGGGGGGTTTGGCTGCTGCCATAAGGGCAGGTGAGGTGCTGGGAATAGGAGAGAGTCTCAAGACTCTCTAGAGTAGAGTGATTGAGTTGTCTTCTGTCCATGGGCTCTGACCAATATGTCACCTTTCTGATTCCTTTCCAGAAGTCCTACCCAGGAGACTCAGGCCCCTTTTATTGCAAAAAGGTAAGTTTCATCCAAGGAAGCCTTGGAAGCCTGTTGCTGGCCACAGAGAAAGCCTCCTTTCAGCAGGAATATAGGGAGAGGGGAGGTAAGGGTGGGGGACTGCTGTTACCAAGCAGAGATGTGAGAGGCCTCAGGCTTCTGTCCAGAGGCCAGGCAAACACCTTATTGACTGTGGAGGCACATGTGGTCCTAGTAGCCAGTTCTGTGAAGGCAGCAACCTGGCTTATGGGTGAGTTCTTTCATTTGCCAATAGCTAATGACTCCTAAGATGGAGCTATAGTATTTGTGAGGTCCTCTGAGGATTTGAAGTCAAACTACCTAAAGATTACAAAGGAGCTGTTCCCTTCACCTCCTTTCCAGAGTTTTGTGACTCAGAATTCCTGGCTTCCCAGCCCTTGGAGGGGCCCTGGCTCCCTCCTTCAGTTGACCCCAGGAAGAGTTCTTTGCTCTCACCCAGGATCAGGGCCACAAGGAAAAATTCCATGGGAGGTGATTATGACATTGGAGATGGGTCCTAAAGGAGAAACCGAATGGTCAGGATGTCAGATTATCTGGACAGTCCAGCTGAGTGGGGAGAAAAAATATTGGAGGGAGGGTAGGGAAGAAACTTATGGAAAGTTGAATTTTAGGTATCTTTGGTTGAGTGGACAGAGAAAGCATTCAAGATAAGGTGGTATGACAAGCTGAGAACTGACAACAAGGAAGAGCCAGTATGCCAAGTGCAAAGCTGTTCCCACCCTCTGCTCACTGTGTTGAATGACCAGAAAGGCTTACTGGAATGCAGTGAGCAGGGAGTGGTAGCAACACAAAGGACATGACATAATGGCATGTTCTTGCTGGCTGTATTAGTTTCCTATGGCTGCTGTAACAAAGTACCACAAACTAGCTGTCTTGAAATGCCAAAATAGCTTCTCTCATAGTTCCAGAGACTAGTCTCTGATATCAAAGTGTTGACAGGGTTGATTTTTTTCTCTGGAGCTGCTGAAAGAGAAGCTTCTGGTGGCTGCTGACAGTCCCTGCATGACTTAGATTGTACCTGCTTCACTCAGGTCTGTGCCTGTATTCACATGGCCTTCTTTTTTGTGTCTGGGTCCAGAGTTTTCTTGTCTTAGAAGAACATTCGTCATTGGATTTACAACCCACCCTAACTCAATGTGACCTCATCTTACCTTGATTACATCTCCAAAGACCCTTTTCCCAATGATAGTCACAAATTCCAGGGCACATGAATTTGGGGAGAATACTATTCAACCTCATATGCTGTCCTTATCTTGAGCTGGAATGGTTGAGACCTCAACCCTGAACCACCTCATCATCATCTCAATTGGACATCACTGAAAGCATGTCCTTCAAAGGCCAGCAAACTCCAGGACAGTCAAGAAAACCATAAGCACAACTTTTCCTCTTGTCCACAGGGTTGAGGTGATAGATGAGGATGGGCCTTCTGAGAGGAGCCAGGAGCCACCTGCTCTATCAAGACCTACTCCTGGATTGATCAGGTAATGAATCACTAGTCTCTCTCTGGGGATGATCACTGCTGGGCCTGCCTGCCTCTCAGTAACTGGAGAATCTCTGTCAGGCCACTTCCCTCTGGCCCCCAGGGTCACTGTCCCCAGGTGCCCAGTGGCAGGATGGGGTGCAGAAATCAGTAAGGGCTCATCTGGTTGAATGTCCCAGGATTTAAAAGAGCAAAACAGTGTGGCCTCCAGGGAGAGTGAGCTTGGCTCTTGTCTGTTTAGTATTTATCTGTGTCACCTTAACCCTTGCACTGCTGAGCCTGGTGGTGGCAAAATGTCCTGAGAAAAAGTATCATCTTTAGGGTTTAAAAAGGCCAGGTACTGTGGCCATAGTTTTCCATTATTAAGCATGCTCATGGCATGCCTATAAGTTGGCCAAGTTCAAACTGCCCAGGAAGGAGGCTCCGCAGTCCCCAGTGCTGCTCACAGCTGCCTTCTTTGCCAGTGCGGATGGAGGCAGAACCCAAGTGTCTCGGGCGATTTGGATCAAGCGCATGCCGAGTGTACCTAGCCCCTCCGGGAGCCAGGAGCCCAGGTGGGTGCCAAGAGCTGTGAGCTGGTCAGATGGTTTCTCACTAGCCTGGCCAGCTGGGCCTGCCAACCAGGGAGGGTCCAGCAAATGGTGTGACAGGGCAGGTGCAGTCTGAGTCCTGCTGATCTCACTCCAGGTGGGGCTGTGATTGCCCTGATTTCTGAGTCCCAAGTGTCCAGGGAGATAATGGTGCTCTCTTGTCTGTGGATGAGGAACAATCAATACCTCCTTGTACTTCTCACTGAATGGTGCTGAGTCCCACAGAGAGCACCACTGCCCTGTTGTTGCTGTTGTTAAAAGCACCTGCCTGGATGGACAGCTTTGCCCAAATTCAGGTCTGCTAAGAGATGTACCTCTATGCCACCTTGAAAGACCTCTGAAGCCAGAAGGGGAGAGCATCTGTCCCAGGTCACTTCCTGGGCCCCTAGGGTCTATTCCAGCTCTCCTAATTCCATTGTAATCCCCCAACTCGAGCTCCATAATGATTTGTAGACATGTGACCACTATCACCTTGACCCTCTCTGTTGTTTAACTGTCCCCATAAGAATTTCTATCCATCAGAACCTTTGAGGATTTGGAAAGGAAGATTTCAGAGCTCTTTATGAAGCAGTATCTAGAGGTCTAGAGGATTTGGTGATTAGATGGATATGGGAGTGGGGTAGGGATAGCACAGCAAAGTACCACAAACTGGGTACTTTAAACAACAGAGTTGTTCTGGAGGCAGGAAGTCTAAGATCAGTGTGTGGGTAAGGTATTTTATTTCTCCTGAAGCCTCTCTCCTTGGTTTGTAGATGGTCATTTTCTTCCTGTGTGCTGTGTTCTTATGAGGGCACCAATTTCACTGCATTAGGGCCCACTGTAGTGACTTCAGTTTAATCACCTCTTTAAAAACCCTGTCTCTGGGGGCTGAGGTTGTGGCTCAGTGGTAGAAGAATTCACCTAGCACATGCAAGGCCCTTGGTTCAATCCTCAGCAGCATATAAAAATAAATAAACAAAATAAAGGTATTGTGTCCAACTACAACTAAAAAACAAATATTAAAAAATCCCTGTCTCTGAAAACAGTCACCTTCTGAGGCAGTGGAGATTTAGGAATTAAACATGAATTTTCAGGGACAAAGGTAATGAGTGGTTTCAGATGCTTTTTAAGAGATAATGTAGGTAGAGAATTAGATTGCACTGCATTGTGGATCTGAGAATCATTTTTACATTTATTCCATGAGATTCCTTTCGGTGTTTAATACCCATCATCTGGCTGACACAGAAAGATGGCTGTCTTATTTGCTATGACTGCTAAAAAATAGTATCACAATTGAATTAGAAAAGCACTCTGAAGTTTAGGGTTGGAGAGATAGATGAAAGGCCTGCTGTGCTCAGCCTGGAAACAAACTAACTCAGGCAGCTGGCCACCCATCTTTACAACTCTAAAGAATTGTTATGGGTACAGAGAGCAAAGTCATCTTGCTGGAGTGGCCCTCTGAAACGAAGCAGATCATGGAACATCTTAGACACTTGAGGTATCTCACAAGGGGACAGGTTCCCTCAGGAAGGAAGGGAACCCCTCATCAGAAGTGTGCAGTAGGGTTCAAGACAGGTCCACACTCCTAGTAGAAGGCTTACTTAGTGTGATGCTTCTGTTAGTTCCACACTCAGATTCTGCAGTCTCAAAATATTTGAGACACCTTCCAGTTGCTTCCATGTGAGCTTCTGGCTTGTCCTGAACCTAAGGAACCTTATTACCTGACCCCACTCCATCAGGACTGCACTGGGCCAGGCAACCACCGTCAGTTCCCCCATGCTTAGTTCCCGTGCCCTTATCTAAGAAGCCCATTAGGAGCAGTGACTTAACCAAACTTTGGGTCCTGAAACATCCCCAGAAAAGGCTGGATTTTGGCAGAGTTGGTTAGGGGGTGATTATAGCCTTGTCCCTAGCCACAGCCTCCCCAGACTTGGCCTTGTCCTGTGTGCCTTGGCTATAATCTATAGGTCAGTGTCTCATGCCTCATTCCTCCTGCCTATCTGTGAACTGAGCTCACTTAGCTACCCTCTATGGCACACACTGGCCCTGCATGAGCACCACTTTTTGATCCTCCCAAGCCTAGCTACTTTCCCCATCACTGCACTGGTCATGCTTCCTTGGCTCTGTGCCTCATCAGACTAGGGCAGGGCCTCCTGGGTCCTGGGCCTTGGCTGTGACATCATTGTGCTTTCTGGCAGAATAGCTGGGGTACCATTTGTAGGAGCATAGCTTCTGGCACAAGATATAACCCTGGTTTTGCCCCAGATTGGCAGTATGTCCTTGAGCAATTTCCTTAACTTCTCTGGGTCTCAGTTTCCTCATGTGTAAAACAGAGAGGACAGTAATACCCACTTCCCAAAGCTATCCCCAATACTAAGTGGAATAATGCCTATGAAATACAGATGCCTGGGTGCCAGTATCATTGTGTGCTCCTGATTATAGTTTGCTAATTTATGGGACCCTTCTTCAATATAGGAAGAGACCAATATTGCCACCTGCTGGCATCTGGAGGATATGCAACTAAGGGCAATGTAAAGGAGGACCCTTTCCCCACCCTCACCTAATACACACAGGAGCACAGGAGTCTCTTCTCTTCTGACAGATCGCTTTCCTTCACATTCCCGCAGGTGGCTAGGGCCACAGTGGATGTGCACTGATGGGTTTAGGGTTTTGATCTTCAGCCCTGTTGAAAACTTCAAACTGAAACAACTTGTGGCCAAGCGGCTGTGGAGGTGATGAGGCTGGTAGGGTGATGCAGGGGAGAGAAGCTGGAAGATCACTGTGTTCTTTTGCTGCCGCCACCAGAACACCATGCCAGATATTTAGCTTCTCCCAATTCTGGAGGCCAGAGGTCTAAGATCAATGTGCCAGCAGGGTTATGCTCCCTCTGCAGGTTCTGGTGTGTGGGTGGTGGGAGGGATGCCATCACCAGGCACCTGGAGAAGCTGAGGGAAGTGCAGAGCCCTGGTGAGACCAGGCTGGCCTAGAGCACCAACTGGCTGCTCAGAAGCCAACCACAACTTGTTTCAAACCCTGGGTGGTTTTTCTTGTCCAGTGGAGCCGAGCAAGGTCGGGCTTTGGTGAGTGTGGTGGTGAGGTGGAGCAGGAACAAGCCAGTGGTCTCTCCCTGAGAGACCCAGGACTCAGGTGTCCCACTGAGTGTGGCTGCTGCACACAGCCTTCTGGTGGGGAGAGCCAATGGGCTTTCTCATTCTCATTCTTGGACCTTCCCTGAGGTCCCTGACCATCCCACCTCCTAGATGGTTTCCTGGGGCTGTCAGAACAAAGTACTACATTCGGGGAGTGGGGTGTAAAAATTGTACCCATGTATTTTCTCCCAGACCCGAAGCTCCTCTCACCTCTCCTAGCTTCTGTTAGTCGCCAGCAACCCTTGGCTGGCAGCTGTATCCCTCCAATCTCTGCCTGCATCTTCACCTGGCTGCCTCTCCACTGTGTGTCTGTCTGGCTCCAAATTTCCTTCCTCTTATAAGGACACAGTCATTGGCTTAAGGCCCGCCCTACTCCAGTATGAACTCACTTTACCTTGATTACAACTGCAAAGACCCTATTTCCAAATAAGGATACCTTCATGGATATTAGGGCTTATGACTTAAATATAGCTTTTGGGGAGACACAGTTCAACCCCATAACAGCCCATCTAGAAGAGGTGCCATTTGAGCTGGACTTTAAGAAGACATTGCTCATGGAAGTGACACAGGAGGAAGAAAGTGTTGAGGCAGTGGTGCCAGCCTGGGCAAGAGACAAAGGGATATGGAAAAGTTGATACAGTCTGGAGTGACCCTTCATTCCTATTTCTTCTCTCACACAACCAGAAATGCCAATGAGAAAATATGTTTCACTTGCCTGTGACATTCTCAAGTCAGTCGTGTTCCTGTTGCTTGGCACTTAAATCTTCTGATTTAAATGAAGCTGTCAGGCCCTGTATGCTGTAATCATAAATTACATCATTGTTGATAATGATGTTACATTGTTATCATGGGAAGAGATGGGCAGAAATCAGAGCTGTCTACATATATTAGGCCCCCTTCTGGTTTTTATGGTGGGGAAAGCCCCTATCACTTGAAGTCCTTGATTTTCTATTTCCCTTTGGTCATCTCCAGTGCTCCAGGCCCTGCTCAGGGTAGATACAGAGGGACGGAGAGATAAGTAGTCACTGACCAAGCCCACCGTAGGCTTCTGGTTTAGGTTGGTGCCAGAAACCAGGACCAACTCCAAGATTGGCTGAGATCCAGGCTTGCATCAAGTGAGGAACTATCTGTCTCCCTGACTTCATCCTGGCCACTCTAATTCCTCTTTCTCCTGGGACCCCTGAATAGCTTTTCTAAAATGTCAGTCTGATCATATAAACTCCCACCCTGTACTTCAAGCTGTCATCCCACAGCTTCCCTTTTCTAGACCAGATGTGATCTCATTTCTACTCAGAAGGTCTTTTGCTGTGCCTTAGGGAGGGCTGAGCTCAGATGGGGGTGGGAGACGGGGGAAAGACTACTTTGCTCCCCTTTCTCTGGGGCCTGCAGGTTAGTGGCCTGAGTTCAGTTGGAGAACCAAGAAGGTTCAAGGCCAAAGAGCAGATGAGAGCAAAAACAAAAGCGGGAGGGTGATGGGTCTGGTTGTTGCACTAGCACCAGAGGGACAACATCTTTGGACACTGACTCAGGTGGGAAAGGAGAGGCTTTCCCTAGTAGCACCTCTCAGATCTCTCCTTTGGCCCACAGCTCAAGAGGTGAGGAGATTGTCCGTCTGCAGATCATGACACCCAGGGCAGGACTCCGCCTGGTGGCTCCAGACCTGGAAGGCATCAGGTACAGAGGCCCTGCTGCTGTACTGTGTCCCTTTAAATCATTCTGGTGATGGGGCAGAGGGCCAGGATGCAAAGGATGAGCCTGGGGACTGATTCTGTCACTGTGGGAGTGACAGGTTGGTGGAAGATATGATCTGCTCCTATCTCATTCTTTCAATCAATAATTTTTCTAGAATGAGCACTTGGTCCTTGTGAGGCAATAGGCCTGGCTCTGGGATCCAGCTGTGACTGGGACCCCCTGGGCCAGAGTTGCTGAATTTCTTCCTGATGAGGGAGGAAGATGCAGACATGAGCAAGGTCACTCTGGTACTGACTGCACTGTATGTTATGAGCCCCCAAGACTGGCCAACTGTGCTGAGTGGGGACACTGGGTCTGTGCCACACCTTGAAGCCACTGAGGTAGTTCATTTGCCTGTGTGAAGGGGTACTGGGAATAGGTTGGGATCCTGGGTCAGCCTCCATAGCTCATGATGCCACAGTGTCCTGTGCTGGGGAGGAGGAGGTACAAGGGGACCACAACCAGCTGGGAACACAATGGGTTCAGCTCCTACCCTGGGGGAAGCAGGGCCAGACACCCAGGTGACAGGCAGGCTGGATCACAGGTATGGACACAGATGGGGAAGCAGCAGTCTCCTGCCCTGGAGGAAGCAGGGGACACTGGGAGTTGGGCCAGAGGGAAGCTGAAGTGGAGGCTCAGAGAGATCTAAGCAGAAAGACTGGGCCCCTGTCTTTTGTGAAGCCAAAGGTCTGAGGAGAGAGGTGGGTGTGTATACAGGAGGTAATCCCTTAATCTGTAGAGCAGCAGGGGCTGAGGGAAATCTTCCTGGAAGAAGTGATGACCAAGATAAATCTAAAGGGAATTATACATCCCTTTATTTTCCTTCTTGGTTCCTCTCTCTCTAACCCCATATACTCCCCTGTCCATTTTATTTTAGAGATATTTTCATTTCTACTACCCTCCCCTAGACTCAGGCCTCCACCATTTTTGGCCCAGTTATCTGCCACCATGTCCTACTGTCCCTCCCCAGACTGTCCTCCATATATCTACCTGGGTGACTTTTGGAGGTCATTATATCAAGGTGACAGTTTATGCCATGTGAGGAGAGCAGGAAACCCAGTAGGTGGTAGAATATGCAAAGCGGGGAGGAACACTGGGGACACCAATATTTAAGTGCAACATAGAAGATAAAGGTGAAGTAGATAAAGGGAGGTAGAAGGTGTCACAGGACCAAGGGAGTAGAGGAAGCAAGTAGGAGTGGCCCACTGGGTCAGTGGTACTGATGGTGGCCTGAGATAATGAAGGGACTGACTATTGGATTTGACAACATGGGGCTCCTCAATGAACTCAAAAGAGAACAGAGTGAGAATAAGTAAGCTAGGATCAGGCTTACAATGTGAAGAAATATAATCCAGAACTCTCAAATCAGACTGCCTGGGCTCAAATTCCTAGCTCTTCCTCTACTGTGGAATTTGGAGCAAGTTACTCGGGTTTCTGTGGCTCAGGTTGCTCATCTAGAAAGTGGGCATAGATGACAGCATTGCCCAAGGGTTGAGATAACTGTCCCCGCCAGAGTGTGGGTGGATAACAAGTGGCTAACTTATAACTGTTCCCTCCATAGGTCTTTCCAAGACCACAAAGACAAGGAGTCCCCCTGCTTCAGAGAGCTCAAGAGAGACTTGGCTGGTGAGACCTTCAAAGATCCCAGCACAGATTCTGAAAGGTAACTCATGGCAGGGAGCAGAGTCTTTATCCCCAGAATATGGAATCCACATCTTCATCCAGGTGAAGGTTGGTAGATGTTGCTGGCAGTAGGATTGACCTATCCTTGCTATCCCCCTGGGATAGTATAGGTCTTCAATGATTATCTGTTGAAAGGATGAATGAATGAGGCCTGGAGAGGGACAGACCCCTGCCAAGATCCCTGAGGTCACTGGTTGCAAAGCAGGACCAAATTCTAGGTTAGGCTAGCCCTATCCCAGCACTTGACCTTCACTGATTTCCTTCAATTCATCTAAAGCCACCATACTCACTATGCTTTTATTCCAGGAAAAAGCAGCCTTGTGAATGATCCATTCAAACCAAGGCCAGCAAGTTGTACAAAGGGAGGATGGGGGTTGGTTATCTAGAGGAGATGGTTGTGCATATTCATCCTATATCCCGCAGACCTAGCCTCCAAGTCAGACCAGGAGAGAATGGATCTGGTGAGCAATGGCTATAGATTGGGCATTTGCTAGCCAGAGTCTGGTAGCCAGGAACAGATTTGAACCCACAGATCTGCCTTCCCATTATGGAGCTCTGGAGCCCCTACTTAAGACTTTGAGCCATGGGAATAAGGGAAGGGTGTCTTGGATGGCTGGGGTAGCCTTATTTCTGCCCCTTTTGGCTTATTAGCAGCCCAGAATGCCTTGTTCTTTGTCTGGTGGCCATCAGACCCCAAAATACCTGCCTCCTGAGTCTCTCTGTTGCCCTCCTGAGTCTCTACTGTTTCTTGGCCCCACTGATACTCATCAAGTTTTGAAGAAGTTTTGCTGTTAGAGTCTGCTTGGGCTTCTCTTTGTTGTGATCAGGCAACCAAGGTTCTGTTTCTGGTCCTTGAGACCCACTCTCAGGATATTGGAGTTCAATAAGGTTAAAGCCCAGTTAGAATTAGCAAACACTTCTCTTTGCATCATAGATCAAGTGCACAATTGAATGATGGAAATGTGGGATCAGGAGCCATGGGGTCCCCACCATAAGGCTTGGCTGGAGCAGACATCAGCTCAGAAATAGGAGGGTGAGGTGCTTGTAGGAGACATGTGTCCCTGGTGACAGGCCACACTCAAGTTGCCAGACTACTTGGGTTGCTGGGGTGAGGCACTGGTCACTTCCTGGAGCTCTTGTCTGCTGCTTTACCCATACTCCCTCCCTTCATCACATCCCTTGCCCTCATATTTTACATATTTCCTTTCATTTACCTATGCTCCTGCCTTGTTCCTTCACCTGCCCACTCCCTCCACTGGCTTGCAAGTTCCTCCAGGGCAAGCACAAGGCCTCACTCACATTTGGAGGTCCAGCCCTCACCAGGACTGGCCCTGGGCAGGTGGAATGAACATGTAGGGAATATAGAAGGGACAAACTAATTAATGAGTGACCAAATGATGGATGAATCCATGCCTTATTACTTCTTGGCTGAGCTGTGAGGACCAACTAGGAGGCCTTTTGATCCTACCATCTCCCTTTCCCAAAGAAGAAGAAGCTCCAAAGTCCCCCTTTCCTTACCAACTCTGCTCTGAGGGTCAATGAGAGGAAAAGCAGAAGCCCAGGTGAGACAAGCTAGGAGACAAAGTTGTCCAGGTTGGTTTTGGGTTGCTGGACCTGGGTAGAGTCAGAAGTCACTTTCTCAGATGATTTGGGGAGTGGCAAGGTTCCACCTGTCCCCAGGTGGTTCCAAACCAAGCATGAATCATCCTTGGGGCAAAGGCTAGGAATGTAGATATTGACACAAGTAGTTCAGTTCCAAACTGTACTAGAGTCCTTATGGGTCAGAACTGATGCTAGACAGTTGCAACTGTAAAATGTCTGTGTTCTCATGCAAATCTGGCCAGGAGGGGTCTCGGGAAGGATGCCCTGCAGGTTGCCTTCCCCAAACCCCTCCCAGTTGCCCCTACTTCCACAAGCCCACCAAAGGCCCCTTCTTCTAACTTAACTAGTTACAATGGGTTACTAGAGCCAGGTCCAGGAGCACAAGCCAATGTGGGAATAACACAGTAAGCCCAACCTCTGAAACCACTGTCTCTGAGTAGGTTCAGGAAAGGCCACTGTGCTGGGGACTCAGTTATTTGAACTACTACTAATGGGAAAAACTGCTACAGCCCTGCCTAAGCAGCTTGCATCTTTTTGCTGTCTGCAAAGGCAGCAGAAAGATCTTCTGAAAAAATAAATCAGATCACATTTTCCCCCTGCTTCAACCTCCCAGTGGCTCCCCACTTCCTTTGGAATAAAGTCCAAACCCCTTTTCCTGGTCCAAAGGAAAAGGGGTTTGGACTTTATTTTGGCCCCCATCAGCATTGCCTCCTTCCCTCTCCCACAGTGGCACACACTGATTTGATCTGTTGTTGGCAACCATAGAAGGTTTCTGCTCCAATGTGATTGAGTCTGGTTCTGGGTTGCTTTGTCTTTGAATATCCATCTGTATCATCCTTCCTGCTTATGTATCTTCATAAAAGGAAGTCTTTGCTTTCTAGTTTCTTTAAAGAAAGAAAAACCTCAGCAGGGTATGGTGGTACAAGCCTGTAATCCTAGCAACTCAGGAGGCTGGGGCAGGAGGATCACAAATTGGGGGCCATCCTGGGAAACAGCCAGGACCCATCTCACAATAGAAAATAAAAGGGGCTGAGGATGTGGCTCACTGATAAAGCACCCCTGGGTTCAATCCCCAGTACGAAAAAATAAAAATAAATTTAAAAAGCTAAACTTCAAGGTAATTTGCAAAATATTCTGAAGAATCTCCTAGATTTTTTAGGATATTTAGCCCAGTTTTTTAGCTGCTTATTTATACTTGGTTTGACATTGATTTTTAGAAAACTCCTTTACTATCTTTCCAAAGTACAGGTTGTTTCTCCTGGAACTACCCTTCTTTTCCATTCATTTTCATAAGTTTACTCAACAACTGAATTTGGTGATTGTGGTTGCAAGTACAATTGGCATAAACAGGCTGGGGAACAAACATGAAGGACTCATTATGTTACCACCCAAATGGAGGTTTCGGGCTTGTGTGGGTGATGGGGTGCCCTATGAATATCTTTTCTTCCATTTTATGGAGACAGAAAATGTGGCTTAACACTGGGAAGCCTGGGTAAAGGAGAGCCACTAAATCTCCATCAACTGGGTGGATACAGATGGGCTGCTTTTTATAAGCAGCCCCAAGAACAAAAATGTGTTAGCATGTGTTATGGCCCAGGTATTATTATGTGAACGTGAATTCACTTACTCTTCTAAGAACATCTATGAGGCAGATAGGATTATCATTCCTATTTCACCAATGATAAAACTAAAGCCCAAAGAGGTCAGGTAATTGTCATGCCTGTCCAGCTGCCTTGGGATATAAGCTAATATTGAGACCTAAGCATCCATTTGAGCAAATCCACACTCCCCATCATCTGTTGGGGTCCTGAACCTGGACCAGGCATGACCTCCTTCAACAGGGAGGGCTCTGCTGCTACCTTCACCCCTTTTCTGGACGATCAAGATGTGGATGATGCCATCTCTCATTCCTGCAAGCCTGGACCAGTAGCTATCAGGTAAGGGTGTGGTGACTTCCTCAGTGACCAGTCCTATTGCCAGACACAGTACTCAGAGCCTAACCTAAGTTCCAGTGCCCCAAGATCCCCTCAAACTTCTCAGCTCTATGTCACCTTACATCAAGTGTCACAGGACAGGGTGTCAAAAGAAGGGGCCAAGGGCTGGGGATGTGGCTCAAGTGGTAGTGCGCTTGCCTGGCATGCGTGAGGCACTGGGTTCGATTTTCAGCACCACATAAAAATAAAAATAAAGATATAGTGTCTACCTAAAACTAAAAAATAAAAGAAAAGAAAAGAAGGGCCCAACTTGGAACTATACACACTCACTAGGGACAGTGGGAGAAGAGAAACAGGGGTAAGTCTGTTGGCCCAGACATTTCAGCACCAAACTTTATGGGCCCTGAGGTGGCAGGGGACCAGAGACAGAATGGAGGGCATCAGAAAGCCCAGATTAGAAACAGATCCTGATAAGAGGTCTCAGTGCACCTCTCCTCTAGGGACTGCTAACTGATCCAGCAAGCAGGAATCAGGAAGAAGAATCTCAGGGACAATCAGCTAGCACTAGAGGCCGCAGTCCCAAGAGCACATAGCGTGTGGTTGGGAAGGACAAATGGTTCCAGGGACATAACTGAGAGGCCAGCCTTTACTGGCAGATAGTTTCCTTTTCCTGTTAGAAGGTATCTGGGAAATGGGAAGATCTGGGCCCCCAGCTTCCTTTGATCTGAGCTTCAGCAGGACTATGTGCTTCCTTCCCTCAGCTCCAGTACCACTTTGGCCTCTGCTGTCCTGGATGATAGGAAGAGTGACAGCACAGCAGACCTGGAAGAAACAAAGACAGACCCTAAGGGGTAAGGTATTAGTAGACAGTGGTAAGTTTCTGGGGTAGAGACAAGTAGCTCGAGTATCCTTTGGGTAGGAAGCCAAAGCCATCTAGGCTTGTGCGCTGGCCCAAGGCACATGGCAAGGACAAAAGTACCAGCTTGGACCATCTGGCTTCTGCCTCTGGGGACAGAGCTTTTTGCTAAGCCCTGTTTCTTCTAGCCTGGTAGTAGAGGTACTCTATAATCAGGAAGGATCACTCTTCCAGTCATCAACCACTGGGATGGTACCTACCCTTTGATGCAGGTTGGAGCACCCACACAAATCAGAATGTCTCTGCTTTCAAGGACTCTTAGGCTGTGTGTGGGTGAGAACAAAGCCTGGCCCACATTGGAAGAACACATCATGCTAGAGCAGGGAAAAGTTGGTACAGCTTCATGGGGATGTGGTTTCTGAGTTGTATCTTGAAAGGTATAGGAGTCCTCAAGCTGAGGGAATAGATTATACAAAGTGCTCAAAAGAACCTGGTGTTTCCCGGGCACTGCACAGAGCTAATTGTGGCCAATAATGAGACTGTATGGGGGAGTGGTGGAAGAGGAAGCTTGCTTAAGTAGGAGGGCTGATTGGCCTTTTGTTCCATGCAACAGCAACTTAAATTTGGGACACCAACTGTGTGCACAGCCATGTATTCATGGTGTTTCATACAATACTCCCTAGTCTCACAAGGTTTTAGTGAAGAGCAAGGACTCAGAACCTAGGTCTCTAAGCCCCATGGGAAGGTCAGTGCTCTGAAGAAAAGAGCCAGGGTGCTGAGATAGAAAGAGGTGGCATTGAGGAGAGCTAGTACTTAGGTGGGTGAAGGGTGGAAATTCAGGCACACAAAGACAAGGGAACCAACTCTATAGAGGGGAGACAGGAGCTGCAGATGAAGAACTGCAAACCTGATAACATAGTGGTGGGAATGTGCTTACCATGTTCCAAAGTCTAGAGTGGAGCCAAAGCAGTGATGGGGACTGCAGATGGATAGGGCCTTGATTAACCATACATAATAAGGAGATATACTCTTCTTTCAAGTTTTAAGTCAAAGAGGAGCCTTGTGTGATCTAGGTGTTTAACGATGAATGCACATTTACATTTTCATATTGCACTGCAGTTGCTTTTAAACTTAAACAAGAAGGGGGGCTGTGCAGCAGATCTCTAAAGTATGAAGCCTTATGTGCCTTTTTTTCTGTTTAAAATTCCACTGACAATTAACAATGAGGGTGAGAACAGTAGCTGACAGTTACAGTGTGGTATGCTTACACTTGCATGAGATGGATAAGATGGGGAAACAAGCAGAGAAAGGTTAAATGTCTTATCCAAGGCCTTACAAGTGGCAGAACTGAGTCCCAAAGAGGAGGCTCAAAGAAAAACTTCAGGAGAAAACTACAAATTTATGAATTATGTTTGGAGCAAATACTCACAACCCAGAAATAGTAACTTGCAGGTGTTCATGTGTAAAGAACATTGTGTGGTTTCATCTAATGTTCTCCAAACCCTGCAAAACATCAGATTTCTGATTATATAAGTTGACAGAGGAGGAAACCAAGAGATAAACTCCTGTAAGGAGCAGAGCTGGAAATAAAAGTCAAGAGCTGGCCAACTCTAGTGCCTAGGGTCAGAAGTACTTTCCTCTGATGTGTAAGTTTGCAAAGTCAACACAATGTTTGTTGATGAATGTTTCACAACTTTGGTTGCATTTGAGCATTATCTGGGAAGAGTTTAAAAACAAAGGTCTTCCTGAGCTCCAGGTGTATGTTTGGATGTGTTTTTTCTGGGGTGAACCTCTGCCATTGCGTGTCTCTTTCTCTCTCTCTCTCTCTCTCTCTGAGTATGGAACCCAAGATCTCATGCATGCTAGGAAAGTCTCCACCAGTGAGGTCCTCCCCAGCACTAACTGTTCTCTTTTTAAAAGCCCCAGCCTCTCCTGTGTTTATTGTCTTCTTCAGTCTTGGTTAAGAAGCATTCTTCCAGCAGGGCCGGGGGCCTAGTGGTTCAGAAGGAGGGGCATCCCCAGACCTTCCGACTCCCGTTTGGCTGCCATGATTGAGGCTGGGTGGTACTAGGTACTGGGTTCTAAAGGGCACAGACCAGGTGCGTTGCTCAACATCCTACAGGGCACCCTACAGCGCCCAAGCCCGCAACGCACAGGGCAGAATTATCCGGCCCAAACGTTAATACCTCTGAGCTTGACGACCCTGCTCGGGTGCGTCATGGCGTCTTTGGGAACAGAACTTTAGGAGGAGTCCAGAGGCCCGCTCAGGCTACCGACTCCCAGACCAGAGCAGCGGACGCTGAAGCGGGGCCCGCGGAGCGGGAAGCCGCAATAAGAGTGTGCCCGCGCATGCGCGCGCCGGGGCACTTGGGCGCTCGCGGTCGGGCAGGCTTGGACCACGGCGAGTGCGCCTGCGCACGCCGCCATTTCCTGCAGCCGCCGGCCGGGAGCCGAGGTGGCCGCCGGGAAGCGCGCCCCTCGGCCGGGCGAAATGGCCGCCAGGGCGAGGCGGGCCTCGGCGGGCCTCGGCGGGCCTGGTCCCGAGGCCGCGCCCTTGCTGGCCGCGAGGTGGCGCTCGAGGATCGCGGATGGGCCTGGTCGTCCGGCTGGGGCTGTGCCCGCCCTTCCCCCACCCCAAGGCCCCGCGGGTAGAGGTGGCCTCAGCAGGCTGGTCTTGGGGTGGCCGCGTGTGCACGGCTGCGGGGCGCAGGGGACCGTCGCCTCCGGACACTGCACTGTGGGCTGCGGAGGGCAGGGGGCGGCGGGGCGGGGGGTCCGTCCAGCCACCAGAGCCCTGGGGCTGGGGCACCAGCTTGGGTGCGCTGTGGCCCTCAGTGGTTAGCGTTGCCTGCGGGAGATTCAAACCAAGCAAGCCCCTGCCCCTCTGAGAGCTCTCACCCTAGTCTTTCTATTAACCTAGTGAGTTCCACAAAGCAATGCCTGTGCCTCTCAGTGGTTATGGACTTAGTTCCCTTTGAATTTGATGATGAAGCACAAAGTTATTTCAACAAAGTTATCCGAAACTTTAGGAACTTTACCCTATCCCAACTAGGTTCTGCTCCATCACACATATACGGAGAATCCGTATAGTACAATAGGTTGACAGCATGGACTCTGGTGCTTGAGTTTAAATCACAGCTGTCACTTACTAGCTCTGTGGCCTTGGGCGTATCACTCATCTCTGGGCCTCAGTTTCCTTAAGTGTAGAATAGTAGTAGTAATAACTTTTACTATATAGGGTTGTTGTGAAGGTTAAATGAGTGTATATGTAAAACATGTAAGATTTCTTGGCACGAAGTATTTTATAGATGTAATATTTCTTGGCATAAACTACTGGATAAATGTCAGATGCTGGTTATCTGATAAAAACTTCAAGCTAAATGAAGTACCTTCAGGGGATAGCTCCTTCAGCCAAAACTATTCAAGGATCCTGGGAAAGCTGTTCTCTTTTTCACATGACCAGCTTTATTGGCCTGATTTCATTTCACAAGACATTGTATCTCATTTCCTTCCTTCTGAAATTTTGATATCAGACTTTACAACTAAAACAGATGCTGTTTTCCTCTTTGTTATTGCTTAAGTGTGGGCTTTTCAAATTTATGTTTTTCCTACTTGAGGAGCAGGGGAATTTTAGGAACATTCACTTACTGCTGTCAACTGTTGTCAACCAGTGGAGGAATCTAGTGGAGGTCTTACAAGAGTAGAAAAGGACATTGTCTTTTCTATAAAGACTTTGGTTGTTTTAGGAATTGGTCGTTGATGTATTATGTAACTGGATCTATGATGTTACATTTCTCAACAAGTCTTCCTGGGAGTATTCAACCAAGATTTCCATTTCACAACCTATATGAGGTACATCTGTTAAAATCATAGAGACCCTGCTACCAAGGCCTAAGATGAAGGCTTATTCTTCCATTTGTTCCTTTGTTGCACTGGAACCCAAATTACTCTTTGTGGAGAATCTTGGCTCCATTTACCAACTTGGTGAGGACAGCCTCTATCACCATACTAGTTCTACAATGGACTCTACACTGCTTAGTGCAGCTGGAGGTGGAAATTGATTTTATGTCCCTATTGGGAAATTGTTGTAACTCTCCACATAAGTTTTAAGAATTGCATTATTTTCAAGGTATGCTCCCTGAAAACCATATCCATCACTCCCATTGGTATTCCAGCTTGAATTTACAGAGCCTGATTTTATAGAATTAATGTCCATAAATAAAGAGTCCCAAGGATGGTGTAAATTGGTAGTATGTCCCTATCTTGGGGTTTCCCCCAGCAGTTATTAGAAGCAGACTGATGATACTTAAAAGTTGTGTTTAGGGTGACCCAAAATTCAGGTGATGCTGAATATTTGAATGCTGGGCTCATGCTGTGAGTTACCCAATGCTGTTTTTGCCCCTGGCCGAATAATTCCTGGAAGCAGTACCTTGCACCTTGGGGCAGGAATGATGATGGAAGGAGTGTGCAAGTGGAGCCTTGGCTCACTTTTTTTTTCCATTATTTTTTTACCTGCCCTTCAAAATCTGCTGCCTGGGACATCTGGTGAGACAACCCCCTGTTGCAGGATTGGCTTTATTTATTACACATTAGAGGCTGACTTTTAGTGACAAGGAAGCAGGGGTGCTGAGGTCCTGTGGAGGAGGATGCCGCCCACTCCCTTAAGATGTTTTTTTCTGGCTCCTCTGTGTTCTTCTCTCAAGGACATGAGCCCCTCCATGCCCAGCAGATGTGACAGCCAGCGTGCAGAGGGTGAGCACTCCCTTCATAGTGTGTTCATTCTTCCTCAGCATCTCAGCGGCTTATGAAGAGAAGAATGTGGCCACCAAAGTCTGTGAGGTCTTGCAGGAGACGCCTGAAGTCCTGGGGGTTGGCCAAGGAGACCCAGCTGCACCCACTCCACAACCTGTAGATCTCAGCATCCTAGAGTGGCAGAATACCCCTGCTGCACCTGAGCAGCTTGTTGAACTGGAGAGCTCTGCCAGCAGGTAAGGTCTAAACTCCACTGGGCTCCTGCTGTCTGCAGCCAGGGCTTTATAGGGGGCATCAAGGCAAGACAAACACACAAACTAAACAGGTCTGTTAACCCAATGCAGGTGTGAGTGGTTAGGAACCACAGTGAAGCAGACCACAAATAACCATCCCAGGGGTAGGTCTCCAAAGGTTTCAACTTGGAACAATAATAGCAAATTCATTGGACGAAGCCCAGCACAGAGAGCCATGTAATCTCATATCCAGTTAGAGCCTAAAAACCTGTTTTGGGGTCAGTATTCAGGGTACTTTTGCCATTCAAGGACTTAAAAGATCTCAGGAACATATGTCCTGCTGTGTATGGGACTCACTGCCAGAAGTAAAGGCTACAAGTTTGATGACAGCTTTCATTACCATCATCACCAGAATAACCATACATAGGACAATAACTCACTTCCATGGTGATGACCTAGGGTTGTGCACTAATTGCAAAACGCTAGTAATACTAAACCAAAGAAATAGAGTCTGTGAATTTTCTGAGACACAAGATGGGCCAGTAAGGAGCAGGACACCAGGGATCACTCAGCACCATTGCTATGCTTTCTTGTAAGTAGCTCACATTTCCCAAAGGGGTAGTTTTCTGGCTCCTGGCCTCAGTAAAGCAGTGCCTGTTGACACCAAATCACAATATTTCCAGCTTCGAAACCTAGATAGCTTAAACAATATTTTTTCACATTGGAAAATTAGCTCTCTGTTTTTTAAACTATGTTTTTGTAAGAAATCTGCTAATTAATTGCCCACTAGCTGGGCACAATAGCATACACCTGTAATCCAAGCAGCTTAGGAGGCTGAGGAAGCAGCATTACAAGTTCAAAGCCAGCCTTACTAACTTTGCAAGGCCCTAAGCCACCTAGCAAGACCCTGTCTCTAAATGAAATATATAAAGGACACAGGATATGGATCAGTGTTTAAGCACATATTCTGTCTATTTTCATTTATAAAAATACGAGGAAATTAGAAGTTATTGGATCAGACAAGTGTGGTCTCAGAAAGGGCTTCACAGCTGACAGATCAAGATTAGCAAGACAGAGAGCAAGAGAGAATGTCATGATTTGATGACATTCTTCCCATTCCTGCCAGGTAATCTTTATCTCCATCTCTGGATAGAATTTTCTGTCCCTCACATTCATCATTCCTAGGAACCCACCATTGGCTCCAGATCCATCATTATATGTAGTAGAGGTTTCTGATCCAAGGCAAGACTTACCTTATTTTCAAGATTGCTCATTTCTTATGTATTGTGTCTTAAGCATGTCTTATGCATTTCCTGTCCCCTTACCTGATTTTGAACTACTTCTTGCTCTGACCCATCTCAGTTCTAGGAAGTGGCCAACAGGAATTAGAACCCAACAGAGACCAGAGACTGCACTCTTAATTACCATGATATTCATACCACCTATCTATTCATGATAATCCCAGAAAAGAAAAAAATCCAGTACAGTCACAGGGAGGGGTGCAAGCAAAATACATCATATCCACGATGGTCAGACAAGGATTTTCTGTTGTGGGAATAATTCAACTAAGACCTGAAGGAGTTTACTTTTCAAAGATCTTGGGAGAAAGCAACATGGGCAGAGAAGAAAGGGAAGAAGGCCTGAAAGTTGGTAGGAAGTTATGTTAGCAGGGGCAGGAGCTGGGCTTTGTGGGGTCTTGTAGGCTAGAGAGAAGAGGCTGTTGGTGGGGGGGACGTGGGATGTTTTCTAGGAGCACTGGAGGGCCCATGCTGCTAACAGTGTAGTTCTAGAGGACTCCAAATGGAGGTGGTTTTTTTTCTTTCTTTTTTTTTTTTTTTGGCCTTGCCCTTTCAGTTCTGCTATCCCCTCAGCTATTCCCCAGACATGGATCACAGCATACCAGAAACTTGCTAATTGTTTAGTCAGTGGAGGATCTTATTTACCCTTGTAAGCAATTCGTTTTTCTTTAGCTCTGCATTTTATTCCTCATCTGTCTTTCCAGGTTCCCATAAGAACTCCTTTTTACATCCAGTGCACTTCATCTAGTCTCTGTGGTGCATTCCTGCATCACAGGGTGATGTAGGAATAGGTGCAGTGTGGTTGGGTGCATTGAGATGGGGTGTCTTACACTATCCATGGTGGGAGAGTAGGCCTTCACTTGTTATCTATAAAGCCATGATAATTTTGGTACACCTAGGAAACTACATCTGGAGCTTCAGTTGCACATGACATTTTGATAGTGTAAGACAAAAAGCTAGGTAGGTGATACGTCATGATTGTTCTAATTCCTACCCCCTGTTATACTAGTTGAGATCTCAGGCCCTGGATTCTCTGGCAAGGGTGTTGTACCCCAGATTGTGGGCCAGGTGGTTGCAGCCATATCCATAGCACAGTGTGATTGGCAGTATGTTGCAGTGAAGCTCAAATCAGGCCAGGACAGTGAGTATCATGTACACACCATGGCCAGAGGCTGCTACAGGATGAGCTGGAAGAAAAAAATAGGTAATCACTGGTGGTGCCTAACAGAATGTCTTGAATTGCAGTGGGCATTTGTGCTGACTTTGGGTATGGGACTTGTGCCATGGGGGTAAACAGAGTGAGAGCCAATAGGGGCCTTTCCAAAGAAGGGCCTTGTGAGCTGCCTTGGGGGTGAGATTCCCAAACAAGGCTGGTGTTGCAGCCAAGGTGTGAAAGTTCAAAAAGCCATCAGATCTGTCAGTTTCCTGTCTCTGCTAATGGTAAAATGAGGTGTACCTGACTTTCTTACTCATCAACATCTATTCATTTGGCCTTCTGCCCCTTGATTTCATGTACTCCTGAGAGTCCTCTGCAGGATAGGGGAAGAGAAGCTGATGCTAGAAAATGGAGTGTCTCCTCCAGTAAGGAGGTGACTGGGCTTAGCCTTTGGGCTGGGTTTTGTCTTCCTCTTATGCTTCCTCCTGATTGTTGCATCCGTGGCAGCTGCATGAGTGAATCACATAGGTCAAAGCCCTTGGTAGTAGTTAGGAATTCAAAGTGGATATTGGAAGATCAGGGTCTTGCCACTGACTCACAGTGTGACCTGGGCCATGTCTCCACTTGCCGGGTTTCTGTTCTCCCAACTAAAAAGCTCAGGGGTCACTCTAGTTAAACTGGGCTAATTGGGCTGCACAAAATAACCCCACAAGAGACACAAATACCTTTTTCTTTGGGGTTGCTGTGATGGCTCCTCTGACCTTAAGGGTCCGCAGAAAGAGAGAGAGCGAGAGCACATGCTGACCCCTTTTATTGAGGAGAAGCTATTCAAATGAGGCAAGGGGTCAGGTTTCAGGGGCTGAGTCTATCTTCATGATGGCCACTGTCAGCAGGTTGACTGACACCTGGGTAGGCCACACCCAAGGGCACAGTAAGAGGAGGGGACACACACAAGGCACTTCCATGGAAGATTCTATCCTAAACAGGGCAAGGGGTTATATTACAAAGGAACAGGTGAGCATAGCTTCACCCATGGGGCTGTAGGAAGATACACCCATTTCTGTGACTGAGCGCCTCAGCACCTAGCTGGGGAGTGTAACTCAGTCACCCGTAAGGTTGGCCTCCCACATCCACTCACTTTGCCTGGGGTTTGTCATATGCAAAATGAGAAGTTCTATTCATTGATCTCTCAGAAGCCTTCAGAAACAAATGATGAGTCAGGCATGCTGGTGCACACCTGTAATCCCAATCATTCGGGAGGCTGAGACAGGAGGATCACAAGTTCAAAGCCAGCTTCAGCAACTTAGCAAGGCCCTGACCAGTTTTATGAGGCCCTGGCTCAAAATAAAAACCAAAAAAAGGGGTGGAGATTAACTCAGTGGTAAAGTGCCCCTGGGTTCAATCCCCCAAAACAAAAACAAAACAAAACAGAAATGCAGAATATGAGTGATTTGCAGGTATTGTTTCAAAACTACCAGCATTCATTAAAACTTATTGAAGTGGGAGTTTGAGATTAGACCACATTTAGCTCAGGAAAATGTCATGTCTCTGTGTTGATATGCTCTCCCCTTCCTCCATCTATTTCAGGGTGAGAAGTCCTTCAAACTGCATGGTCACTGTTACTGTCACTGGTGCTTCTGAGCAACCTCATGTTTATATTCCAGCTCCCCCAGTTGAATTGGACTCCAGCTCAACCACGTAAGAAGGGATACCTAGCAACCTAGGAGATGCTTTCTGAACACAGGGGGTTCCCTATTTCTTCTTTAGAGGTAAAACACCCAGCTTTTTTTCAGTGTTGCTTCCCCTGAAATGACTCCCCCAACTCCCAGCACTCGCCACTATATAAACTCCTACTGGTAGCCTGGACACAGTTATAGCATACCCACACCTTCTTCTCCCTAACCCAGTAAGAAGCTGAGATGGTACTTCCCAGGGATTAGTGGATACAGCCAGCAGAAAGACTCTTTCCAGAGGACCTTGATAACATGCCTGTGCAATTGGCGTGGGGTGGTCAATGAAGGCCTGTGAATGCCAGGTCTATGTCTGTTTCTCTCATGTGCCCTCTACCTTACCTTCATTTCTGGCTGCCTCTTAGCCTGCAGGAATAGATGACATTGCAGGGAGCTTATTGAGAGAGTTACATATGTGTCGAGTGGGGACCAAAGGGTTCTCTGCTAATATCAGGTCAGCAAGCTGAAATGTGCAGGATGGAAATGAGGGCCAAATTTGGGGCAATGCTGAGCCCAGCATGAAGCATAACTTGTTTCCAATGCTGCCGGAAACCTTCCCGAATAAGATGACTTCTTTGGCATCTGAAACTCCACAAGTGAGAAGGGAAAGGTGAGATTTGACATGGAGATTTTGTACTAGCTGAGTGCTTCCAGGAAGGGCACTGGCTGAAAAGGACTGACACTCTGCATTTAAGTCTTGGAGGATGTCCTGGATATGGGCAGAGAGGATAGAAAGCACAGCCCCAGAAAAGGGATTGAAAACCTGTTGGACTAAAGTGCAGAAGTCTGGGAAAAGGGTGGGGTCTTGAGATCTGAACAAAGAAGGTCATGTCACTGTTGATTGTAGGGAGCCTCATTCTAGAGCTCTTGGTCCAAACACAAGGTGAGATGAGACTTTTTAGCCCCAGTCCACAATAGTGTCAGCAGCCTAGCAGGTCCATCTGCTGCTGCCTTGGGAGTCTGGTGTATTGGGCGGGGAGCCTACCAGCACCTCTATGCTAGACCTTCATGAGCTTCTGCAGTTCCTTCAACCCAGCCTGGCTGGACTGACCTCCACCATGGGCCAGACTCAGTCCTCTGGAATCTTTTGGTATACCTCTTTCTGTTCTACTCTGCTCCTTGTGCAGCAGAGGGATTCTTTTCGTGAAGGAGTACATGAATGCTAGTGAAGTGTCTTCTGGGAAGCCAGCATCTTCATCTTATGGCAGGTAAGAGCAAGCCTCAGATCCTTCCTTGTCATGGCCTTTTCCTATATTTCCTCCTCTCCTGTATTTCCCCCTTCCCCAGTATCTCATCAAGGGCTTGGGCCAGAGTAGCTTCTGTGTAATCACATGTTGAATGGGTGACTAGAGCAATTATCTTCAGATGTGATTTATACATTTTCAGGTGTTCTACCTGAAAAGGTGATTTTTGAGTTTTCCTGTTACACTTAATTTATCCTGTACCTCATTTCTATTTTCTGTCTCTATAACCTTGTTTATAACAGGGAGGGTTTGAGATTAGGAATAATGTTCATGAAGCCTCCAGAACAGCAATGGGAAAGCTGTCTTTGCCATCTGGTATTTGCTTCTCTGAGAGTCACTTGACTGAACTATGTCCAGCTTCTGCTTTTTGTTCTACTTGTCCCACCAGTCTGTTAAATTTAATTCTCAGACTCTGACAACTAAATATATTTTAAAATTAACTTTAACCATTAGTCAAAATATTGTCTTATGAACAAACCTATAGACTTTTCTTTAGTGGGCAGTGAGAAATGAGAACTTGGATTGAAAATCTAGCTAACCCTTTATTCTGAGTGTAACCTTAGGCACTCTGCCTAGCCTCTGAGCAGCTTTTTCCTAACTACCTCATAGGGCCACCAGTTGACTCCTAAGGGAATGGCAGCTTCATTAAGGATTATCTCAAGGCTTGTACCTATTTAGTCGTCCTTCCCTGGCAATACTTTTTAACCATCAGTTTTTATATAAATTGCAATATTATTGAAAATGAGAATACAAAATTTTAAAAAACCCATTTTACCCCTACTCCCACCCGATAACCCAAGGACAAGTATTATATTAAATCTTTCCTTCATTTTTTTTCCATCCCCAGTGTCTGATTTCTGTTGTGAGTAGGCTTCTAGTGACTATCACATTGTAATGCAGACATATATATGGCGAGAAAAGTTCTGTTTCTGTTGGTCAGTGGACCTGAAATTCCTCATGGTATACACAGCCTCCAGAATTACAACCACCGCACCCTTGTCATCTCCCTTGCCACAAGGGGGGTTCTTTATGCCCCATGAAAGAACTCTTATCAAAGAGAATTATGCCTCCTTGGTACCAGCCCCTATAGTATCAAGTACCATTTAGGATCAGAGGTGATGGTTGTCAATGTAGTCACATCTGGCTTGTGGCCAGAAAGTTAATTGGAAAACTGTCCATTATGCATCATGATGATAGTGATCTGGCTTCCATCTTCTTTCCTCCTTTTCTCCATCATACTCTGCAGTGTCAGCAACATCGAGAAGTCATTTGACATGGAGAAGAAACTTCTATATGACAACACATCACACTCTGAGAGGTATGTCTGCTTTCATACTAGGGAGCTCCATACCATATGTGTTTGGTTTTATCTGGTGATTTGCAGCTTCCAACATATTTACAGGATTGTCACAATAGTGCAGGACACTGGAGGGTGGTACCTACCTTATCAGGATGCCACACTAGAGACAACTAAAGCCTTTGAACCCAAGTAAGAGCAAAGGGTAGACAAAAAAGGTTACTGGAAAAGGAAGTGGTGTCTGAGAGCACAAGGTGCTCATGTCAGCAGTAGTGATTCCTCAGAGTAGAACCTAATTAACTAGTACCTCTAACTAGAAGTCAAAAGAAAAGAGTAACTACAAAATAATGATGAGGGGGATTTTTAAAAAATGGGCTGCTATTATTAACAAGGCAGAAAACAGACAGAACTAAAAATGCAAAGTGGTGTGGAATCATTGAATTGAATGAAGGGCACTTCATCCAGCAGTTTCAAAAGTCATCATTAGATGTCAGCAGAGTCACAAGATAATATTAATGACAAGTTCTATTTTTAAATTATTGGAATAGAGTGTTAAAGAGTCTTTGAGATTGAATCTATTCAGGTTACAGTGAAGGAAATTGGTCTGGTAGGATATGTAACATACCCTTAATTCACACAGGGAGTTAGGGACAGAGCCAGGACTAAAGCCCAGGTTAGAGATGTTTGTACTCTGACACATCCCTTCTCATTTATTAAGCATTTATTATTTATTATTCTCATTTATTATCTGAATCCCAGATAACCACATAAATTACATCACCAGATAAAGTGTTAGTAGAGAAGGCCAGTGTCCTAGTCCATTATATGTTACTATAACAAAATACCAGAGGTTATTGTTATTTTATAAATAAAAGAGGTTCACTTAGCTTACAGTTTAGGAGGTTCGGGGGTATGGCAGTAACATCTGTTTGGCAGTGGTAAGGGATCTCATGGGAGGTGAGACATCATAAAGGCAGGAATATGTGTAAGAGTGGCAAGTGGCATGCTCAGAAAAGGGATCCAGGGGAAGTGCCATGTTTCCTTATAATAACCCATTCTCATGGGAACTAATCTGATCCTGCAAGAACTACATTAATCTCTTTTGAGGGTAGTGTCCTGCCACAATCCTCCCACTATTCCCCAAATCCTGAAAGGTACCATCACTGCCACATTGCCACACTGAGGACTAAGCTTCCATCATATGACATACTCAAATCATAAGACTACATGAAGCAGGTTGGTTAGAAACCTGAGAATTAGCCAGTTCCACAGGAACAAATGAAATGAGGTATCCACTTTAGCAGTATGGCAGACCAGATACCCTGGGGGGTCCCCCTTTCCACTACACGTCTCCTAAATCTAGAGTCAAATGTTACTGTTTAATTGCTGGGCTTAGAGAGAGAAAGGGAATTCTCCAAGGAGATCACCCTAGTCATTTGCACACTTCATACATGCACACATACACAGACACACATGCACAGATAAAAAACACAAGCTGAAAGTGGCGATAATATACAAAGGAACAGGGTGCAATGAGGGCAACAGTCTGTAGAAATGCTTCCATCCAGAGTGTAGACTCTGAGCCAGCTTATGGTAATACTAGGCCTTGGAAAGGAATTAAAATGGCCCCAGATTGCTAGCACTACCCCAGCCACTGTCAGAAGCAGGCCTAAATCTCTGGAAGTAGGTACTCCTAATTTCAGCATATAGGAGGAGAGCAAACAGGCACCCTCATAGGTCCTGTCTAAGGAGAAGAGGCAGAGGTGACTCTTGAGAACAAAGCAAAGATCCTGGGATGTGGGAGATAATTGACCCAGAAATCAGTACCTAGAACTTGAGCATAAGTTCCAAGTAGTCACTACAGGCAGACTTAAGGTAAGTGTGGGTCTAAGAGTATTGGGGCTGGGGACCAAGGCTCAGTGGTCCCAGGCATAAAGAGAAGGGACATCAGGACTCGTTTGGGGGAGTAGTGCAAGAGCCTACAACAGCCGAGAACTGGTCTAGCTTGTATCTCTGCTCCCAGAAAAAGATGTCAGGCTGGGAATCCTGACAGCAAACTGAGGCCTGGCTGTATCACATCAAAAGTCTGTATGCCAGTGTGGAAACTGGGTTTTTGTTTTTCTTCTCATAGAACAACTGGAGGTATCTGTACTTACTGCAGCCGAGAGATCCAAGACTGTCCAAAGATCACCCTAGAACATCTTGGCATCTGCTGCCATGAATATTGCTTTAAGGTAAGAAAAACAGGTGGTGCTGCTGAGAACATCCTACAGAGCACTGGAGTCTCATGGGTTCAGAGAATGTGAAGAAGTCTTGATTCCTGTGCACATTTGTGCACAATCTCAGAGACTTTGCAGGGCTAGAGAGAAAAGCCTGACTGTAGTGGGCTCAAGAGATAATGGAACATGTGGAAATGAAGAGATCTGGAGGACTTGCTTGAGAGAGCAGTCAGGCAGTGGAGGAAGACCATAGCATGTGTTGATGCTGATAGGCATGATCCAGTGTAGAGCAAACACTGATTGTGCAGGAGTAGGACATCCTCATGTAGGAGAGAAGGATGGGTACCTGTTTGACACAGCATGGTTAGCAAAGGCTGACTATGTGGGTCATGTGCAGAGAGGTTCCCTGATTGAGTGGTGGAAGAACAAATTTTATTTAGCAGTTGTTTCCTATTTTCTCAGTTGATGCAAAGCATGTTCATATCTCTGAGTGAGAGAAGGCAGGTAGTGCTGGAGGTTAAGGAAAGAAGAGAAGGGAAGAAATATCACCTCAGAGAGTGGGAAGTTAGATGGACTAGAGAGAAATGGAGGCCAGGCGGTGCCCACTTGCAGTGAATGCTCATGAACTCCTACCTAGAACAATCAGCAAGGGGCTTGCATGGACAGGGTAGAGATTTCACCAGGTGAGGCTGATGAAGCAAGAATGAGACTGAGTGCTGAGCAGGGATTTTAAACTGGCCTAGTTGGGTTCACATAAGGTGTGTGGAAGTTGGAGCTGTGGAAGAACAGTGGGGCCTGAGATGGTTGGGGGATGCCTGGAGGGCAAGTTGAATGCTTGAGTCACCACATAGGCAGTGAACACAGGTTAGAGAGGTCACAGAGCTATTTAGAACCCAAGGATCCCAAACTCAGATTGTGATATCGGAGCCAGTGGCATCCCAGCTGCATTCTTCTGCCCCCCCTCCCCCAAACCACCACATTGCTCAGGGTCATTCATATAAACTGTTTCTTCAGTGAATTTTTGTGCAATTTGATTAAATTGGGAAGAAGCAGCTAGAATTGCTTCTCTGCCGGTTCTGTAGGAGTGGTTATACTTTATAGAAAAAGGCAGATCATATACATTTATAGATTTAGCATGGCCCTGCTAGTGAGAGAACACATCACTCTCATCTTCCTTGGTGCCACCAGGCTAGGGAGTAGATTTTCAGTTTTCATTGTTAGCATAAGGAAATTTGGAATGCAGAAAAGAACTTGTCAAAAGTTGTTTTAATTTTAAAGAGGCACTATTTCAGAAAGATAGGACACTCATGGCCTGCAGCATCATAGCAGTTCTTCAGGATCCCCCATTTTCCACAGCATGAAGCATTTATAATAAGTTTTCTGTGTATCCAGATGTGATCAACTAAATAGATAGGTACTATCAGTAAGTTAAGTTCAGGTTCAAGTCCTTGTTCACAAAAACTAAAATTATAGAAACATAATATATGCAGTAGAGGGCTAATTGGTTTATAGTGAGAATTAAAATTGACAGAAGGATTTTCAAATTAATTGAAAAGTAGAAGTAGCTAGATTATCATCAGAAGGGTGCTTGACAAGAATGAACAAAGGGAGTTGGAGTAGCTGCGAAATTGTTCTTTGTCCTTCCCAGCACCTTTGGAAAGGTTGAAACCAGAAAGCTCAATCTGGGGACCTGGAAAGGGCTGGAGACCAAGACATGTGTGGATTCTTTGGCTCTTCTTGTTTGAGACTATCTACAGGCCACACTGCCTCAACAACCAGTGCCAGGAAGGTTCACCACTGGCATGCCTGGGGAGGCAGGTTTGTGAGTCATGAAGTTGGAGGGGCTGGACTGCTAAAAGATCCTTCCATTTTGTAGGACTCCCATATCACCTTCCTCTGGACCTTCAATTTCACCCTTAATGTTTCCAGCTTCTCTTACAAAAGCAGAGACTGCTGGCACTTACTGAACAGTTTGCTTATTCCTGACCCCAGGCTGTGTGCTGTATGTGGCCTATGCCTCTGAATGTTCTTCATGAGCTTGAAGAGTATATCTTGCTCATTTATAGATGAGGAAATGGAATAATGGAAGCTGGGAGAATTTCAGTAACTTGCCCAAGTTCACCCAGCTAATAATTTGTACAGTCAAGATTTTAAATGCAGACTGAATTCTGAAACCTGGGCTCCTAACCACTTTGTCATCATCCTGCCAGCTAGTTTTTGTGTGTTTTTTGATTTGAGTCTGAGTTTTGCTTCTGTTTTTTGCCATTTTTTTGGTTGTCTGCTTGGAAGTCCAGAATGCAGCATTGGCTCATAGCATCTGCCTCCTGCCTTGCTCAGGCACCCCCTCCTCTTCCACTCATTCATGTTGCTTCACTTTGTGTGTTGATCTCCACCTTGCTTTCTCTTTCAGTGTGGAATTTGCAGTAAACCAATGGGTGATCTCCTGGATCAGATCTTCATTCACCGAGACACTATCCACTGTGGGAAATGCTATGAGAAGCTCTTCTAGGTGGGTGTTGGCGTTTCAAGGGACAAGCAGCCAAGAGATTCACTGGGGGAAGAAATCTTCCCTGATCTCTCCCTGGGTTTTAGCCCAGGACCCTGCTATCCCTCCAGCCTTTTTGTTCATGAGGCCGAGTCTTTGTGTTCCTATGTCTTATGACACTTTGAAGTCTTAATTGACATGAACAAAGTCCCTCCCTGAGGACTCTTCCAAATTGTCAGAGTCACAGTCTCTTCCTCTCTAGAAGCACCTTACATAAAACACCCCAGCTGAGCCCTCTAGCTGTCCTGGAATGCTACTGGGACTCTATTAGCATCAATTTGTAGCCAGGAAATAAAAACTTTGAAAGGGAAGGGGTATGGAGGAAACACCTAGTTGGCTTATGGTAGTATCAGGACTTAACCCCAGGTCTTCAGATTCTGGGCCTGAGCTCTGCCAGTTGCTTTGGACCCCTTCTACCATTGATTAGCTTCAGATCAGGACTCCTTAGCCAAGGTAGTCAGTAAAACAAGCTTCTAAGTTAACAGACAGTGGAATTGCCCCCAGTGTCTGAGCATGGAACATAATATTTCCCTTGAAGGCAATCAGAATGGATGCAAACCAGACTCTCCCCTAGCTACATGCAGGTTATCTTCTCAACAGGTGACACATTTTAATTGGACTCTAGTTCCTGATCACTAGAACAGTGACACACATCAAGGACCTCTGACTGATTGTTGGATTGAACATGTATTTCCAGTTTTATGGCTACTCATATTTTCTTTTAGCTTCCCCAAGATGCTCAGAAGCTGATGACTCCCGGACAAGTTTGGCTGTCCCCAGTTCTTGGATCCTCTCCCTTCACTTCCTCCCTATGATTTCCTCATACTTCTTCCCTTCTTAGGTTGAACTTGCTTACATCCAGTATTGTATCTTACTGATGCTATGATAATTACTTGTGTGTGTAGCTTTTTATAGTTTAGGAGGCACTTTACATACATAATCTCATTTCAGGCTCCATCAAAGACTTGAAACGAATTCCATCTTAGCATTCCTAAGACAGACTGGCTTTCTGATGAGTATAGGTAGCCTAGTGTGTTAGGCATGGAAAGAAGCATGGAGTTCAGTTTGTGCTGACTCCCTTGAGGCTTCTGAGGGGCCAAGTTAAAGACTGTTGACGATCCCTTGTGGGTAAATTGCAGGCATTGAATGCTAGGGGTTGGCATAGGCTAATGTTTACCTTGTCTATTTGCCATATATATGTTTTAAAGTTTCCATACATTCTTTGAAGTAGTTAGTTGTTTTTGATTGAGTTATATAGGAGATTTTAATTCCCTCTTCCCATCCACCTTTTGCTATATTGGACTTTTTCCCTAAAGGTGTGTGGGCGCATATTGGTAAGTTAGGATCAAATTCAATAGGATATGATTTTAGGAGGCTACTGACCAAAGAGATGTCTGTGTATGTTTGAATTTTGATAACTGATTAGTGTATTTGCCCTTAATTCCTGCTCCCTGGGCCTTACACAGAAATCCTCTCAATTGGCTTTCAAGGTACATAGATCAAAGTAAGATTAAGAGGAGAGAAAAGTAGTTAACATCTTTGAAGCCTCCCTACATACCGTGCATCATTACAAAGCAATGACATTAATTGCTGTAATAATCCTGAGAAGAGAATATTCTTGTCTCCATTTTACAAATGAGGATAGTGAGACTCAGACAGGTGGTCATTGCCTTCTGAAGAACACTGTGCAACACTACTACTGTCCCATGCTCTCTCCAGGAACAAAAAATTGATTTAGTGCTTAGAATGTGCTCACCACTGTGAAGAAGATATCTGAATCCTGCCATGTAACACTACCCCTTTGGCCTCCACCAAGGCATACTCTTACAAAGGGGCAGGATGTGAAATCTCAGTCCTGTGGGCATCCTGGACCCCCACTGATGCACCATAAGGGCCAAATTGCCCTTCTTCCCTCTCCCCCAAAGCAAGGTGCTTTTAACCAGGGATAAATTTGACTCACAGAGTTCCCATAGAGAACCTCATCAACCCAGGGAAAGCTCCAATCAGCCAGCTACTCTGAGTACACACTCTTTAATGCCTTCCTGTTTTCCAGTCCAGACTCAAGCCAGCAGCAACTACTGGGGCCCAGGTTCTTAGATCATGGGAACTCATTGTCTGGGGAAATAGAGAAAGATACAGGCCTGTCCATGCAGTTAGCTGACAGTCTTAGATTAGCCTAGGTTACTTGTCACCTGCAAACTTTGGGCCCAGCACTAATTTGTAAACTCCTCAAGAGGTAAAACCACCTTAGAATTTTTGGATAAAAAAAGAAGGCCTCTTGATTGAATTATAAAATGAGCCTCTATCTTTCTTTAGTTTGTGAGCCCTGTACATGTTGGCTTGTAGATTTGTTATTTCTGTCAGATGATCAGAGACGAACATTCCATTTATTTGATAGATGTGAGTTGGATTTACTCTGAAGGAGAAGAATAGTCCCATATGCCATGTACCAAAACTAAATATTAACTAGTCTTCTTGAAGTCTAGCTCCAACATGGGACTTAGTACATGGTAAGCACTAACACCATGATTGAGAAAGAAGTCACTCCTTTGGTGAGAGGTGCCATTACAGAGTCTCAGTACAGGCCTCCCAGACATAATACAAGGTAAAGAAGCCCAGGATAGGCTAGTTTCCCCACCCTAAAGATATATTCTTCCTTTAAGGTAGTTTTAGAACCAACCTGCAAGATATTGAAAGACAGCTTGTAATGTCAGTATTGACCTTGATCCAAAGCAGCCTCTTTCAGAAATGTCTTAAAGATACAGAAATCTTCAGACTTAAGGAAGAGAAATGGTTGTATTACATTGTTGCTTTTATAAAATTTCTTAGTTTTTCTAGTTGTGCATGCTTAATCCACAATAGTGTACACAATTATAATAAATGTTAAAATGTACATGTCAGTGTTAAGATTTCCTTTTTTTGAGTTTAGTAACTTGGTGTACTTGGCTGTGTGATTTACCTGAAGACTTCCTCTAAAAAAGCAACTAAGTAAGTACTTACAGCAAGATCCAGAATCTATGTAGGCAGAGGAAATATAGAGTTCTAGGTTCAGCAAACCTTTTTTAATTTTTTCTTTTATAATTGCAGATGGACAGCATGCCTTTATTATTTATTTATTTATTTATTTATACGTGATGGTAAAGATCGAACCCAGTGCCTAACACATGCTAGGCAGATACTTTGCCACTGAGCTACAGCCCCAGCCCATCAGCATATCTTAATATAGAAAATCATATTCTTTTGGATACATCCTTCCCTTTATATCCTTCACAGACAGGTGACCCCCCTTTTATTTTTACACATTTTCAATGATTAAGAACTCCTTCCTCTCCAAGCCCATACTGTCTATGGACAGCCTCAGTTTTAGAAAATGCACTTCAATTGAGTTAAATTGTATTTCCCTTTAATTGGTCACCCAGTGGTGGTCTATAATTCCTTTCCTAAATGCCAGCCCCTAAAATAGATGAAGATACTTCTCAGGGTCTGTCAGTCAACTCCTTCCATTTAAACACTCCTGGTTCCTTCAACTCTTCTTGACATTGATTCTGAATATATATTTCTCAAAGGCACTCTTCAAAGCTGCTCCCCAACACACACTGGATCTCATTACTCCAGCTGTGTACCAAAGGCAAGACTGCTTCATCTTGCTCCTTAAGGCCAATGTTCTAAACTTTCAGGATCCTATTGAATTGTCATTCTGCCTATGAAACCAGCCATGCTTCCAAGTTTCACATCATTAGAAAATGCAGTTTACATATCATCTAAGTCTTGATCCAACTCAGGGATAGGAAGTCCAAAGATGGAACACATGGCACTAGTGAACTCTTCCCACCACTGAGCAAGGTCCTGGGGGCCATTGTATTAGTGTCCCTCACCCCACCCTCAACCCAATTTTGGCTGCAGTGGATGCAATTAGGCAAAGAGACCTACTAATGCAAGAGAAAAGGATTGTAGTGGTAGCTCATAACTAGGTATTTCAGTTGATGATAATGTATGACACAAAAGAAAACATGGTAGTGTCATTGTGAAATCACCTAACAGACCAGGTTCCTACCAAGCAAGTTGGTCCCAGTTATTTGACCTCCTGTATTCCTACTCCCATTTCCTGTCCCCCATCCTGAGTCAATACCCATAAGGTCCCCTACCCATGCATCCCCATGTGTAATCCTCTGAGGACTGCTCTTTGCTTATGAATGTCTTTGAACTATAAATTTCTTCCACAGAACACATTCCTCTGGTGAAGCTTCTCTGCATGGTGTCCTCTCACTGGGAATATCCCAAACCTACCTCCAAGTGCATTCTTCCCATTGTTCTATTTCTTCTGAATGCCTTATGCTCCAGGGGCCTTTCCAGGGCCCTTTACTTTCAAATTCCTCTGAACTTTCGTAGTGAGTTCTGTCCTTATCACACTGCTAATGAGGCTCATCCCATGAGTGCCTTTACCAAGGCATACTTTGCTTAATTGATCTTGCTAAATCGGTATTGATTTTATTCCTTTTAAATGAAAACATTTACTCTTTTGTTTTCTTTCATTGGTTTTTCTATTATTTTATACTATTTCATTAATATCTGCTCAAATATTTATTACTTTGTCCCTTCTGCTTACTTTGGATTCAGTTTGCTTGTCTTTTTTTTTCTTTTTTCCTTCTGCTCTCCTAAGTGTCTTGAAGGTGATAGTTTGTTCTTTTTCTAGTTCCTTAAGGGGTACAATTAGGTTTTTTACTTCAGATCATTTTTTAATATATGCATTCATAACTATGAACTTTTCCTCATCACTGCATTAGCTACATGTTATGTTTTCATTGATCTGAAAAGATTTTCTAATTTCCCTTGTGACTTCTTTGTTTATTTAGGAGTGTGTAAACAATACACTTGTTACAGAAATTAAAGAAAGTAATTCTCAAACTTACTTTCTGTTACTGATTTTTAACTTTATTACATGCTGGTTGGGGTACATATTTTGCATGACTTCAATCCCTTTTAATTTTTGGAGACTTGTTTTCTGGCACTGTGCTTAGCTTTGAATGCGTGCTTCATGGGGTTCTTCTTGAGCAGCTGCCTTGGGTCCCTGCCCTGATCACTGTCTACCCTGCCCTCTGCCCTTGCAGGCTATTTGTATGTTGTATTCTCCTTGACAACTGCCTCTCTCTCTACCTGCTCCACCTGGTTCATCACCTCCAAAGCCCACTGTACACTGTGCTCTGCATAAATGCTCTCTTTCAATGAATCTTCTCAGACCAACTTCTGCTTTACAAGCCATCCAGTTTGTGTTGGTTTGGTATGACATGCTGCTGCCAAGTCAACTCCTTGTCTGTCCATTAGAGCTTTCTTTTGGACCAACACCTTGATGTATCACTTGGTCACTTAATCTCTAAACAAGCATTTATTGACCATCTGTTTTCTACCAGTGTGCTAGATGGATATTCCCTCCCAGTATTGCAGATCCAATTTAAATCCTCATGATGGTTATAACATACCATGGTGATAAGTGCTCTGAGGAAAACATACAGAGTGGGTAAAATGCTATAATGTAGTAAACTCTTCTGGGCCAAATGGCCAGCTTTTCCTAAGGAGATGATGTAAAACTTAAGTATGAGTTTGCTATACACAAGAAGGCTATCTTCCAGCCTCTCTTTTTTATGGTGTTCTACAGTCATCTCCATCCCCAAGGCATTTAATTCTTTCTGCATCATGTCAGGTCTTGCATGGGGCACAGGGATTTGAGGGATCAAAAGAGGCACAAACTATTAACTCACAGAATGGTGATTTCATGGGGAGAAAGACAAGGCAAAAAAATCCTATTTCAGTAGTAACTGCTAAAGGAGCATAGGGAAAAGCTTGGTAACCTGGATTTTGTAGTTAAGGATGGTGTCCTTGGGGAGGGGACATCTGAGTTGAAGTTTCTTATTTATCCATGTAATAATTTAAATATTTCCTGAGCACTCACTGTGGGCCACACACTAAACTACACCATTACAGAATGATGTGTGGCATGGTGAGAGTGGAGCCAAAGCTGCAGTGGAGACCCCAGAAAGTTAGAGATGCAAGAAACATGGAACACTTGCCAGGGAAGCTATAAGCAGCATGCAAAACCACCTCAAGAGAGTGGCCAGGTGGGACACCAGTACTTTTAGAAATCAATTTGCCAGGGGAGCCCTGGAATCATTGAAGAGTTCTGTGATCATTCTTCTCTGTAGGCCAGACCTTGCCCTGGGAATCATAGCTACTCAGCTCTGGATCCTGAATGCAACAGCAGAAGCAAAGAGGAAAACCAGAATGGTCTGACTTGCTCTGACCTACATATTTTATGGGCTGATCATGGTCTTCATGGGCATGCAATAGATAGGAAACCTATTAAATTCTTAACTTGATTTATATAAGCAGCAAAGTTCTAGACCAAGGAAACAAAATCTGACTTAAATGACAAAAACAGTTGTAGCAATCAACCGATTCTCAGATTTGAGACAATTTATAGACTCAAAATCCCACATCCCACATCTGGTTGAGGAATGCCCTCAGTTTGCTAACAATTTTTATTGTTAATCTTTCTCCTGGCCTTCTGCAAAATGACCTACAGCCTTTTACCAGAGAAACTGTGCTTTGGGGAAAAGGAAAAATCAGACATTTCAGAGAGTGACTATGAATTGTTGCTGATTCTAAGAGAAACAAAATGTCACTGTGGCCCACCAGTCAGAGTAGGGGTTTACAGAAATCAGGTTATTAATAGAATTTTAACTCAGATCTGACTCAAAGGGAGTCCTGAACCTACCTTGTGGTTATTTCCTCAATTCCAGAATGTATAAGTGGAGTAGAAATGCTTAGCAGCTGGAAGAATTCCCAATCAATTCCCTTATGTGGAGTGGGAGCTATTGTGGTGGAAAAGGCCAAATGGAAGGCCAAATGTTAGAGGTACCTACATCTAGGAAAATAGCAAATCAAAAGTAATACAGCATTTCTATAGGGATTGCAAAGATCTGTGCCACCATCAGGACTTGAAAGATGCACAGGTGGGGATCCCCACCTCACCCCTGTGTAACTCTCAAACTTGGCATGTGCTGAAGACAGATGGATCTTAAGAGAATGACAGAGGATAATTGTAAGCTTAACTAGGGATGACTCCAGTTGCAGCTGTTGTAACAGATGTGGCTTCAATGTTTGAGCAAATTAACATATGTCCTGGTATCTGGTATGCATCTATTGATCTGGCAAATGCTTTTTTCTCTATACCTGTCAATAAGCCCCACCCAAAGCAGTTTTCTTTCATCTATCAAAGCCAGAAATATACCCTCACTGTCATATTCTAGAGGTATATGAACTCTCCAGGCCCATGTCATAATTTAGTTCCAGGAATCCTAATCACCTTTCCCTTCCATGAGGTATCACACTGGCCATTGCATTGATGACATTATGCTAATTGGATGGCTCAAGTGTGAAGTAGCAACTACTCTGGACTTACTGTTAAGACATTTGCAGGTCATAGAGTGGGAAATAAATGTGACAGATTCAGGGGCCTTCTACCTCAGTTAAAGTTTCAGAGGCCCAAAATAGTATGTGGCATGTTGAGATAGCTCTTCTAAGGCAAAGACTGAATTGTTGCTTCTGGCTCCTCCTACAACCAAGAAAGAGGAGACTCTTCAACAGATCCAGGCTGCCGTTTAGGCTGCTTTTACCCTTGGTCCATAGGATCCTGCATACCTAGTGGTGCTTCAAATGTCAGTGGCAGATAGGGCTTCACTTTGAAGCCTTTGGCAGGCCCCATAGGTGAAATGGCACAGGCCTTTAAGGGTTTTAGAGCACTGCTTTGCCATCATCATTATCTACCCTTCTTTTCAGAGACAAGCTTTGGCCTACTAGTGGGCCTTAGTAGAAACTGAACTCTTTTTTAAAAATATTTTTAGTTCTAGATGGACACAATACCTTTATTTCATTTACTTAGTTTTACATGGTGCTGAGGATCAAACCCAGTGCCTCACATGTGCTAGGTGAACGCCAGACCACTGAGCCACAAACCCAACCCCAGAAAGTGAACTCTTGACCATGAGATTTACCTCCCCATATGCCATGTTTCTGCTAAAACTACCATTTGTGGGCTTAAATAATGCTTTAGCCATCATCATTTTGTTCTACACAACATTGCTTCTGGTCAAGGAACCCTTTAATAGTGAAAATTGTGAGACAGGTTTTCATGCTCATGGAATTCACTGGTATTATGTTCCCCACAATCCTGAAGCAGCTGACTTGATAGAACAGTGGATCTTTTTTGGAAGACTCAGTTACAGTAATTGCTGTGAGACTTTGGATGGAACTGAGGAGGGGTTCCTTCCTGCCTCAAGTTCCTGCAGCCTGTTGAGCCCTCTGTACCATTGATCCAGAAATGGGATGGTCCTAGGGCTCACTCAGTCTAGCTGCTGCTAGAGAAATCCATCCACCCACCCCCATCACCAGGTCATGAAAGGGATCTGCCTGGGGCCTGTTCTCCCCTCTTTGCTGTGGAGACCATGGCTTGTAGTGAGGACCTAGGGATATAAGGACCTGTGGATTTCTGCTGTAAGAATTTGTTCCATGAATTTGAGCCAGGCAGGCAGCTGGGGCATGGTGCAGGGGAGCTGGAGGTGCTGGCATACAGAGCACTTGCAGGTCTGCTGTGTGCAGGAAGAGCAGGCCAAGGAGGCAGACACATTCAAGGCTCCAAGAGGAGAGAATAGGGTCTGAAGAATGTGCCCTTTGGAGAAGCTGTATACCAAATGATGGAGGATTCAAATGGGAAAAAGCTCAGATGACAAGAGTTTAAACCCAGGTGTAGATCCAGCGTTCCCAGGGAGAACCTGGAGACACATGGCTCAGGACTCCCTAGCCCCAGGGGACCTCCAAGCCCAGAGAAGCAGTGATCCAAGTACCTGGACTTTGGCCCTTATGTAACCCATTCTAAAGTAAAGGAGCCAGGGATCTGGGTGGAGTGTTCCATGAATGGGCCAAGGACAAGAGAAGAGAGACAAGCTCACTCATCTCATTCTAATTTATCCTTCTCTGTGGTAGAATACTGTGGGCTGAGAATGGGATGGCCCTGTACCTGCTGATTCCTAGGACCCATGGGAGGCCAGACTGCCCAGGATGTGACCTTTATCCTGTTACCCCTGCTATGGATGCTGGGAAAGTGACTGCCCCACAGCATCTTCCTCTTGGTGGAGAATGAATATTTTCACATGCTCCAAGAGCAGGCAATCCAAAATTCAGGAGAAGGTGGAGATCAGAAGCATAGAAAGGCAGGGGAAAGGGCTGATGGGAGAATGTACCAGAGTTCCCAGCTTGGCCTCTAGGCTGTCTTTGTCCTTCATATTCATCTGTGACATGATAAACGTACAATTACAAGGTGGTGGATCCACACATGTAAGTAAGCACCTGGGTGGGCCTTTGTATCTACAGATCATACACAGCCCACCCAGAGCACCTTGTGAGCAATGTGCATCTGAACACACTCTGCTTATGGGAATGTGCCAAGGCCAGATAAGGATGAAAGGAACAAGAGGCCTCTGTGTAGGGCTGGTGGGCTGGAGTCCCTCAAAGGTCTCACTGCTTAGTGTTGGTGGGGAAGCAGCTTTCCCTCTCAACTCCCTCATTTGGTCCTTTAAGGAAGTGAAACCCACCAACCATCCAATATACCTGCTCATACCCATTCACTAACAGTCAGTGATGCACTCACATCACAGTACACCTACAAGTTCTCACACATGTTCAATGGCATGCAGTGAAACACATCCACACAAAATGATACACGTTCACATTCAATGATACACTCACACATAGGGACTCATGATGTCAGAACTCCTACTCTAACACGTACTCCATGACACTCATATCCTCATTCATACACCAGTGACATACACCCATTTAATGACACACATGATTTCTTATGCATTCATTCATACTGTGAGAAATACATGCTAACACATGACCACACACATGCCCACACACATACACACAGTTATACCTGCTCAGTGATCAAAGTATACATGGGCCAACTCTGAATACAGGACAGATCAGAACAAGGAAGCCTAGTGTTCTGGCTGGGAACAACCCCTTATTCTACTCATTTTCTCCTATCCCCATCAAGTTTGGAGGAACTCCTATAAAGTGATCAGTTGCCTTGGCCCTGCTGAGACACACTGCATTGCCTGAAGGAGGCAGGGAGAGCAGAGTTCAACTGGAGGCACCACCCCTCTCCTGCAGGTTGTCCTGATGGGACTCACCCCCAAGAGTCTCTTGAGATGCAGGCCAAGTCCTGAGTGCCAACCACTCTGCAATTATGATCCACTGACATGCCACCTATCACTCATTCCATTTGCACCCCCAGGACACCCTCACGTTCTGTGTGTGCCCAGGTCTCTGAGGGATCTTCTGTTGGTGCAGCTCCACTGTCTGCAGCCTGATGTGGCTGGGTCACCAGATGCAGACTCCAGTATCTGGCCCTGGCTCTTGACTACTAGAAGACTGTGTCCTTCATCTGTACAGTGGAGGTGGTCAGAGGTTCTGTCCCTGAAAAATGGCTGGAAGACACCTGCAGACAGACTGAGGAAGCCTCAGACACTTCCATTTGTATATAAATGGTACCAAGGGCTCAACAGATGAAAGGACACAGCAAAGGAAGAGACCCCTCCCCAGGCCGATCCAAATTCATTGCTTAGTACTGCTCCCAGGACCCAGGGATGGCCCCCCTCCCAGCTCGTACCCAGTGTGTAATGTGACTCTGTCTTCCCACCCCATGGCATGAGAATATGGAAGCCCTGGTATGTCCACCCTCTTCCCAATGACCAACCTCCCAACACCACTATCCCTAAAGGTCCCTCAGTGGCTACATTAGCACTGGCCATCTGTTAGCTGCCTGAGGCAGGGAAAAGCAGGTGGGGTGGGTTAGAAAATGTCACCCCTGCCCTCCTGGTCTTGCACACAGCTCCTGCTGGGGACATCTGACCTCATGCCAGGGCCCTTCTACAGCCCTTCCCTGACCTTGTCTGCTAGCCCGGGAGCACACACGTGGCCTGTCTGACCTGCCTGGATGCCCTGATTCCCACTGCCTCCAACCCCGTGCACTGCTGGGAATCCTGTGGTCTTGTGCCTTCCCTTCAATGCCTAACCCACTTATTCCCAAGTGCCCTGGGGAGCCAGAAAGATAGTGCCCACCCACAACCAACAGCATCCTGTTGCCCACTGGCCAGCTGAAATCACAACAGCTCATCATGGACCTTGCCTGAATGCACCCAGCATTTTGACCCAGCCACCACTGTCCCCCCTACTCCACCCTGTCCCATCTCCAACCAGCATTCCTCCCCCAATTTCCCTCACTATGATAGAATAAGCTGGAACATTTCACAAAATTTATTAAACAGAAACACTGAACCATTGAAGAGAAGGGATGACAACACCTAAAGGGACTTTTCACGACCACTCGAGGCCACAGGTCCCGGGCCTCCCCCTCCTGGGGCTGCAGACGAAGAGCCGCCTCTGTCTCCACGCTGGGGCCCTCCCACCACAGTCTCCCTTTCTGAGGACCCCAGAACTGCCTCTTGCCAGGACAATGGCCTCTGGCAATGAACACTCACTTCCATTCCGGGAGCCCCCTGAGGGGCTGACTTGCTGTGGGGTGGCCCTTGCCCTATGGCTGGCACAGAACGGTCACAGGACAGTGGAAAGCATAACAGGGAACACCCTCCCCCCAAGCCAAGGAAACTGAGTCACAAGGAACAACGGGGGTGGAACGTCCAAGCACAGTCCCTGGCCCTGCCCCTCCATCTAAGGTCCAGTGCTTCCTGCCCGAGGTGAGGCCGCGGTCTTGATCACCGAGGGGGTGAGCGTCCACCACGCCCTAGCCGTCCATCCTTCGCGCCGGCTCCCGCCTCCGACTCCTGGGGACTGGGCTCAGGGCCTCCTGGGAGGAGCTGCTCAGATAAGAACACAGACACACACACACACACACACACACACACACACACACACACATCTCCACGAGAACAAGCGGCAGGCAGGCAGCTGGCCTAGATCTACACTGAGAAAGCAGAGGTTGAGCTCACGACACTGGACAGGAGCGAGCAGAGCCTTGGCTCGCCCGGAAGCTCACGGCACGTGCCCGGGCCTGGAGGTGGCCGGCCGCGAGGGCACGGTCCTCTGCCCGGGGTTGACACACACCTCACGGCTTTGCACAGGAACGGTGGCTAGCGTGGGGGTGGGCGTTTGCTTGAGGTGGGTCACTATGGGGCTTACAGACAAGGTGGGCCTCCAGGGACAGGGACAGGAGCACCCTGCCCCGGGGACGGTGAATCGGGTTGGGGTTTTGCCTGTTGGGAGAGCCAGGCAGCTGGCACCCTTGAGATGGACTCTCTTCCCCGACGTCTCCCAGTCCGGTGCAGGTGGCAGGTGTACTCAGGTGCCCTCATCCAGGCTATGGATGGCCGCTGAGTAGTGCTTCAAGGCTGGCCACCCTAGGCTGGCAGGGCTTGGGGCTGACCCTGGGTTGGCAGCTCTTGAATTGTGAGTTGCCAAGCCAGGCCCCACTTCTCCCTGCTTGCTCTCTCCACTTCTCCAGTGGTCCTGCACAGACAAAACAGAACAAACTGCCCCCCTCCAAGTCCTCCCTCATACTCCTCCCACTCCTTTCCTACCTCCTCGTGTTTGGAGCAAAAGCTGCCTTCTATATCCAATCACGCCTAAGCCAGCTCTGGGGGCACTGACCTAGTGGGTGCCAATGCCCCCACCTGGGGGTCTTCTTAGTCTTTGGTGTCCTTGCCCGTACAGCCCTGTCAGGCTGCAGGAAAGGAAACTGCCTCTGGGATGGTGCTGGGCTCCCAGGGCTTTGGGGTCTGGAGACCCGGCCTTTATGGGCGGAAGGGCTCAAGGGTACTGCCTTCCTGGGGCTCCCCTAGAGCAGTGTAGATGATCCTGAAGACAGGTTGGACCCTGCGACCTCCCCTGCGGAGCATTACTTCTCTATCTTGGAGCTCTTCCTCCGAGGAATTGGCTCCTTCTGACACAGATGGCCCCAGGGCAGGCTCCTCCACGCTCCATGTATCCTGGTGTCTGGTTGGCATCGTTAGCTCTGAGTCTGTAGTGTAGGAACTTGGAGGTGGCCAGATGACATTGCAGACATGCATGTCAGAGCCCACCGTCTCACTGTCTTCATACTCTGTATCGCTGGGGTCTCTGTGTGAGGCTTGAGATTCCCATGTGCAGGGTGTGGCAGCTCCCTGCTTTGGTCTGTGACACTTCCTGCGGGCTCTGCACTGGGCCTTCCCTGAGATGCATGTGCTTTTGTCCTGTTCGATAGAGTCCCTTCCCACTGGGAAAGGGAGAGGAGCCTTGACCTGGGCCTGCTGGCTATATCCTACCTCACTTGGGTCTCCTGATCTTTGTCTGGGCTGTTCCTTCCCCTTTTTAAGATCTGTCTGCTGCTTGCCAGGGAAAGGAGTGCCTGGATCTCCTGAGCCTGTGCTTCCTAGGGCTTGGGGTGGCTCATGCCCCCAGCCCCTTCCTCGTTTCCCGACCCTTCTTCAGCAATTTTAGGCCTCAGCATGGGTGGAGATTGGTCCTCAGCTTTGGGACATTCTGCCTGGCCATGGCCTTTTCCCATAGTACAGAGTTCACATGACAGTCGCCTGCGCTTCAGTGATGGGGACACATCTTCCTGTGCAGTCTGGGTGCTGTTTTCGCTGAAACACCCTGCCTGCATGGTGACCTGAACTGCAGAGTAACCTACTTCTGCTACTACCTGCCTGCCAGAGGCCCTGCGGCCCCTTCCTACTTGCCTCTGTTTCTCTTTCATCACTGCCATGGTGGTCTCCCACTCCTCTTCATCTCGAATGAGCTTCATTAATTCCAGAAAAGTGGGTGGGCACCCTCGCTGATCTAAGAGCTCAAGTTTGCCCCGGAGGGCAGCAGTCATGGAGGCCCGAGCTAGAATATGTTTGAGGCGAATCATGTCTGTGCTTTGCACTGACAATGGGCTTTGCTGCACAGCTTTTTGCAGCAGGGGCTCTAAGCGCAGCAAAAAAGCAGAGATCTTCTCTGCAGACTTCTGGGAAGTCTGAAGAAACCTGAACTGTGAGGTTCTACAGTCCTCTTTATTCCCAAAGATCTGCTTTAGGGCATCCAGGCACTGCTCCACAGTCATGGAGTCATTATTAGCCAGGAGCACCCGCATGATTGACAGTGCGGGACCACGCAAGCTCTCTAGCAGGCGACGCCTCTTCTCTATCTCTGACACCTGCCACATCTGCATCATCTCAGTGACCTGCTCTAGCCAGGCTTCAAAACTCTCTTCCCCTGAACCTGGGAGAGCACCTCCTGAAAACACTTTCAGCTTTCGGTACCACATGTTTTCCCTCAGAGGCTGAAAAACTGGTGGTTTGACTTGGTCCAAGTCCTCTGGCTCTATGCTCTCAATGGGAAGGGTGCTATACCCCAGAGTTTTGGCCACATCTACCATTCTCCGGCCTTCATCTTTCAGGAAGTAAGTCAGCCTATTGATAAATTCATCATCTGGGTTCCGAGGTTTTACCACTACTTCCCAGGCACCCCCTTTTCCTGGTATCTGACTGGGTATAGCAGCATAGTTGACAGTGTCAGCCAATTCAATGAAGACTGCCTTAGCATTATCTTCCCTCCTGAATATTCTGCCTAGCATCCTGTATGTACACAGGGGATGTAAGCCTGCCTTCAAGGTCTCCTTAATTTCAGCCTCAGTACACTCCATAGGGATGCCCACAATTAGCAGGGCTTTCCTGGGATCCAGGTCCATACCCTTGCACCAATCTTCTAACAGTGTCACAGCCATTGTTCCCTCTCTATATACACTGATCTAACACAAGGGCAGTAATCACTCAGAGTTTTATCAGTGCTCAAAGAATTCTGAGCCAATACTAAGTTGGGTAGCTGAAGTGTCTCAAGTTTCCACAAGCCTGTAATGCAAATGGGGTAAGAACATTGTTAATGCTTGCCCCCCACCCCCACCAAGAGTCCCTTCTCTGTCCCCATCTCTCCTCAGATATTTACTCTGTGCTTCCCAGGACTCCTGCAATCATTTTGTACAGGGTCTCCCCACACAAAGCTACCTACCTCACCCTTTCCTGCTGACCTCTTCCTGCTGTGGGTTCCTCTTTGGAAGTCTGAAGACTCTGCTGTGTGTGACTCAGGTGCCTGTGGTGAAAAGGCCAATGTCAGGAGTTAGGGCCTGGTGCCTGGAGGCACTGAAGCAGCCCTCCTGGCAGCAGAGGATAGGAAATGCCCTGCTGCCTACTTGGAATTGTGCCGGTCCCAGTCACCGAGAGCACTTTCCTCAGTAAGGGGAAGAGTGGAAGCAGGAGATGCAGAGCTCCCCGTTTCTCAGGAAATGCCTGGCAAATGAGAAAGATGGCCGGAGCTCTGTGCAGTGTAATGAGAGTGGTGGGTGTGGAGAATGTGTAACAAGCTGCAGTGTTACCATAGATACCCAGAACAGCGTGGACCATGGGTTTCTATCATAGCAGAGTGTCATGTGGTAAGGTTAAGGCCCTTGAGGAGCAACAGGTGATGTCATTTGCCTCCAGCCAATGAAACCTCTTAGCAACAGAGAGAAAGAGGGACAGGGAGGTGGGGTATGAGGTGAGCAGTGAGTGAGGAGTGAGCACTGAAAAAAACAAGAGCTTATAGTTTCAATTTGTGTGGAAGCTGGAATCAGAGGCAGAAAAGAAACATAGAAAGTGTCTCCATTGCCACACTACAGGAAAGACAACTCTCACCTTAGGTGAGGCCCTATGCTTCAGAGTCTGTGTACCCTGGCAGGCAGACACTCCCCTTCTACTGTTTGCCAGGGTTACAGAGGCCCTTCCCAACATATCTCACCTCACAGCTGCTCACCCTGCCGCCCAGGGCCCCACTGGAGTGCAGGCGTTGTGATTTGGTTGGCACTAGACAATCAGCCTTCTCTGTCCACTCAGACAGTTCCTAGCCCATGGGTAGTAGATCCTGCTCCACTGGATCTGTCAAGGCAAGGTATAGGTATTTTTACTGTGTTTCTATCCCGCAGGCCTCTGCACAGTGTGAGCTGTGCAAATGTCCACAAGGACCCTTGTGCAGTGATATATGAGAAACTGCTCAACTCGAGGCTTCCCTTAGGTCCAAAAGGATCCTTATCACATGGCTGAAGGGATCCTTGTGCAGGGCTGCTTCCCTATCCTCACTGCAAAACCCACCCATCAAGCCCCGCCCCTCAAAAACCCGCCCCTCCAGAAACCCCACCCATTTATGAGCCCCACCCAAATCCCCTCCCCGTTGTAAGCCCCGCCCATTCTGAAACCTCACCCATACTGAAGCCCCGCCCCTTCCACAATGTCCCGCCCTTCTAAAGCCCCACCCATTTGAAGTCCCGCCCCTTCCAAAGCCCCGCCCTTCTAAAGCACTACCACTTTGAACCCCCATCCCCTTCGAAGTCCCATCCCTTCGGAAGCTCCACCCATTTCGAAGCCTCATCTTTACACATGCTCAAGTTCTATCTCCACCTCCACTTTTCTGAGCTCCTCTCCTTCCCATTATCTGAAACCCAGTATAAAGCCAGTCACAGTGGAGAACACTGGTAATCCCACCTACTGCAGAGGCTGAGGCAGGAGGAGTGCTGGAGCCCAGGCAGCAACAGAGCAAGATCCCATCTCAAAAAACAAAAACAAAAAACACCCATATGGCCCATACTGCTTCAAATACATCCCCCACTACCTCACATATCCCCCATTCCAGATTAGGAACACATCTAGTCACTGGTACTGGGCAGAGGCTAGGAGGGGTCAGGGCTAAGTGCAATAGGTCCCCCTGTATTTTCCACGCTTGTTGCATTGCTAGAAATTTTAGAAGGCCCCTGGGGTTCTGGGTCTGGTATAGTGGGATCCCACTTCCAGAAAAACCTTCTGACCACTGACACCTGGGATGCTGTGGAAAACACTAAGGGTCACTGGGGACAGTCCACTGTGATTTGGGTTGCTGTCTGTGCCCTGGGCCCAGCACCATACCTACAGGCCAGGAGTTCCTCTAGATGTAGCCACCATGCGTCTGCCACCGCTTCCGTGTCCAAACAGAATGGAGCACGAGGGTGTGACGGCAAGAACATATATAGGGTGACAGCCCCCCTCCCACCCCCCAGCTGCACACGGCCCTCTGGCAGCTGCGCCCTAACAATGTCACCCTCACCACTCCCCATCCCCCCAAAGCAGGATCCTCACTTTTACTCCCCCATCCCTTTACATTCAGTACCTGAGGTGGATAGGAACTTCAAAATGAACAGAGGACCACTTACGTTATGCAATAGGTCCAGGTCCAGTTGTAGTATTGGCTCAAAAGAAAATGCGTGGCCTGCCACGTGACCCATCAGACCCAGCAACCATTGCGTCTACTATTGCACATGTCACTCCCTCATTGGATGGAAGATGTAGCGTCATAGCCACCACTCTCATTTCTATATTCAAATCGCCAGCCCAGGGCCGGGTGCAATGTATATAGCTATTTGCAAAGTATAAGGTCGAGTGCAAAATACAAAGCTTTGTGCAAAATACAAGGCTGAGCGCAAAATACAACGCCGCCAAGCGCAAAATACATGGCTGAGTGCAAAGTACAGGCCCAGTGAGTGCTTACTAATTAAAAGTCATATTCCTTGTTTATTTTTATTAGGATTTGTTCTTGAGAAGAGAGGGAAAAATACAGCAGCTTCCTGCATTTCACAAGGGCATGAAAATTTTCAGGGTGCACAGAGACAAAACTATCAAAAGATTGCACAACCAAGTATTGTTCAAGTATTTTCTGCCAGTGCCCAAACTGCTTCCTTACCTTTCCCAAAATGGATTTAAGACTCGGATATTTGTTCAGTGGCCCCAAAGCCTGTTCTGGAAAATTCTGTGGATGTAACACAAGTAACCAACTGCAAATTGAACATGAATCCCCAGACATTGTGATGAAATTACAGTCTCTGAATCAGGAGGTCTGGGGCTGAGCTGAGAGTTTTCTAAAACTTAGAGACTGCATGCTGTGGATCCCTGCCCATACTTTGTGTAAGAGGCTCTGGAGCCTGAGATTACATTTGAGAATTAAAAGTTGTGGAATTTTGGTGAAAGAATGGATTTGTACTCGTATATTTGAGATTTAAAAGAAAGGGCTTCAACGAATCCCACTATTAAGTTTAATTATAACACATGAATAAAAAGAAAAATAACAGGCTTTTCTAGAATTTGTTGATAAAAATGTGAAAAGCAGAAAAAAATTTAAATTAAAGGTCACTGAACAAGATGTCTGTGAGCATGGTCTGTTTTCCCACCTTCTTATTTTTTATAGTGCTGGCCATGGAAGCCAGGCTGTGCATATGTTAAGCATGTGATCTACGACTGAGCTGCATCTCCAGCCTCTAACTGCAGCTATTTTTTATGTCTGAGGAAACCATGGAGTTCATGAAATCAATATCCTTTACAATGCCACTTGAAGAGATCACACTCACCTCTGGAATACTCAGCTTTTTTTGCTACTGCTACTAAAAGACCCAACAAGAACAATTTTAGAGGAGGAAATTTTTATTTGGGTGTTCATGGTTTCAGAGGTCTCAGTCCATAAACAGCAGGCTTCATTCTTCAGGGCTTGAGGTGATGCAGGACACCATGGTGAAAGAGTGTGGCAGAGGGCTGGGGTTGTAGCTCAATAGTGGAGCACTTGTCTAGTATGTGTGAGGCACTGGGTTTGATCCTCAGCACCACATAAAAACAAATAAATAAGACAAAGGTATTGTGTCCATTTACAGCTAAAATAAATGTGTGTGTGTGTGTGTGTGTGTGTGT